GTTTTTCGCTGATTTATTATATTTTGCCATGTGGTATTATTTTCAGTTGATGATGCAAGATTGCTTTTGGGTATATATTACCATGGATTTGGCAATTGGGAAAAGATAAGGTTAGATGATAGGCTTGGCCTTACTAAGAAGATTGCTCCTGTTGAACTTCAACACCATGAGACCTTTCTACCACGTGCACCAAATCTGAAAGAGCGTGCTAATGCACTTTTGGAAATAGTAAGCAATCACTCTTGCAGTCTTGTTTGCATTGTTGACCCTGTGTAGAAGATTGGCTTTTCCACTTTTTATTCCATCGCATTTTGAATGTTGATATATTTGTTTTTTGAATATATTTTTCAAAATGTTTCTCTTGGATATTTCAATTGTTTGTTTGAATGCTGTTTGATCTGTCTGCAGCATAAACCACTTCCACTGTGCAATGTTCCAAAACTATGCATTTATTTTCCTCTGTAATCAGCTTTCATAAATGTTGTATTTTTTCCTTCTAATTTTAGTTAAGGTACTATGCAAATTCTACTTGGTCTCTCTCTCAATGTTTCAATGTCTTTCCAAGCAGTTTTTTGTCCATTCTATGCTCTTTGAACTGTTGTAATGGATTATTGATGCAAAAGCGTTTCGCTTCCAGATAGCTTAACTACCTGGAGGTGAATCTTACCTGTCTGCTGTTGTGTTGAACATAATGTGACCACACTTGTTTAGTTACATATCTCATGGTATCCACAATTCGTACAAATATTTTAATGTAGCAGAGTCGGCCATTATGTATTTAAATCATACTGGAGAGAAATTTTCTTTTTTTGTTTGGCTGGTGGTCTTTATGACTGTTCTATGTAATGATGATATGTAGGCCAGCATAGTCTTTTTTTTTTTTGGGGGGGGGGGGGGGGGGGGTTTCATCAATGATGTTGTGGATGACTTTACTGATGATGAGAACCTTTATCACCAGGAACTTGCAGCTGTTGGTGGAAAAAGTGCAAATGCTAAAGTCGGTCGCAAGGCTTCAAAGAAGGAGAAAGAAAATATTCTTAACATGTCAATATCTCAGATGAAGGGCAAGAAAGGAAAATCGGGTACCCCCAAGGTCAATTTCCAAATTACCAAAGACAGATTGCATAAACCTCGGAAAGTTGAACCTTTAGTAAAAGAAGAGGGTGAAATGTCCGACAACGAGGAAGTATATGAACAGTTTAAGGAAGTCAAATGGATGGAATGGTGTGAAGATGTCATGATTACTGAAATTAAAACCCTGCAGCGTCTTCACAGGTTGCAGACTACCAGTGCTAATCTTCCAAAAGAAAAGGTCAGTTCTGTTTATGATATTCTTTTTGTTTATTTTATACACAAATATACTAGAATTTTATATCCAACTTCTTTCTGAGGTCCGTCTTTCCTTTTATTTTTTCCAGGTGCTGTCAAGAATTAGGAATTACTTGCAGCTTATAGGACGAAGGATAGACCAAATTGTTTTAGAACATGAAGAGGAAGGTTATAAACAAGATAGTATGTTTTTCTTTATTTTGCATAGTTTATTGATTATTCTACTCAACTGATGAGCATTGTGTTTGAATCTTACCATTTGTGGCTCTCTCTCCTGCAAGTATATTGCTAAAAATTATCTTATTTTAATGTTTTACTACATTGCTTACATTTCCCTTTTTTTAGATTTTCTTCCATATTAGAGCTTGAAAAGAAGTTTCATTGCAGGGATGACCATGCGATTGTGGAACTATGTCTCCACCTTCTCAAATCTTTCTGGGGAGAGGCTTCGTCAGATTTATTCAAAACTAAAGCAGGAGCAGGATGAGGAGGCAGGGGTTGGACCCTCCCACACGAATGGTTCTGCGTCTGGTCCTATTGACAGTAGTGATCTAAATAATTTTTCTACCTTTACTAGGCAGAAGGGGTATAAGAATGTGACTGCCTATCAAATGGCAGAACCAATTCACAAGGGGATTGATACAAAAAAATTTGAAGCATGGAAGCGAAGGAGAAGAGCGGAAGCTGAAACCTTCCCCCCAGCTCAGCCCATATTGCAAAGACCTATTGGTAATGGTACTCGTGTATCAGATCCAAACTCACTGGGAATTCTTGGGGCGGCACCTACTGACGGCAGACGTTTCGGTAACGAGAGACCTTACCGGATGCGTCAAGCTGGCTTTCCACACAGACAGGGTTTCCCTTCAGGAATCAAGTAGCAGTCTTTTTCTGATTTATGAGCACAGCTGATTGAAGACTGACACTGATTGGCTTTCACTTGGTAACATTTACCTATTAAGCCTTTAAATATTCTCTGGAATTCTTTATTGCCATGGGAATAAAAAATGTGCAGATCCAGCCTGGTTTTGTTATGGCTGCTGATCTGCGGGGGGGCTTATTCATCATATGGGAATTGCATATATGTAGACACCGCACTGAGGAAGAAAGCCTAGGGTCTGATTTGACATAGCAAGAGATGTGGCAGTCTCGCCGTGATTTTTAGTTTCCTTCTGTTTTTCTTTAGAAGAATGAGTTGAGTACATTGTTTACGTATATAGTGAAAATTAGCAGGAGAAGAAAAAAAAATCCCATCAGTTTGAAATATTAAGGCTCGAGCGGAACAGTATATATGTATTATGCTATTGAGAAACTGTACATTATCAATTTTGCTTAATTTTGTAGGTCATTACTATCTCATTCTTCCAACAATTTGTTGATGTATGTATTTTGCATTTCAGCTTCTGCTTAATATTTTTGAAAATTTTTAAGTATGCTAGATGCCTACATATTAAGCCTCACATGTATGATTTCTTTGACACAAGATAATGATATACTGAAGTTCCAAGTTCCAATACCATCAATTGTAATTCTTGACTTCTTGTAGCCTGGTTTGAATTTATTGCTGCCAAACGTGTTTCAACTCCTTGTTATGTATATACGAATTTTTTATACGAAGTTTGGTGTTGAAGGGAAGATATTTGTTCTGCTTCACTATTGGGTTGAATGACCATTTAATATTGTGAATATGCGTATGGTTGGATCGATCAATTGATTAAACCAAACTTTGACTTGGATTAAGGTAGTAACTACGGGAGATTAGCGGATCGGTCAGGTTTGTGATTTGCTCCTACAATGTCTTGAATTTGAGTCCCCTAAGAGTATGTACATGGTCAAAAATGTTTTTTTTTTTTTTCCCTAATAATTGTAGGATTGATTGGTGCATTCCAGTTTTGAACTCGGAGCTGGAAAGTGATGGGTTTAGTGGAAGTTCCAGTTATAAATTTTGGTTCGCAGAGTGATGTAGAAGGGTGGGGTTGGATGGTTAGGTGGGGTTTTTGTATCAAACTTGAGCTCATAGAGTGAGCCATGCGAGTTGTAGGGTTTGACGAGGATTCTAGGGTTTCATTTGATTCATTATTTGATGATTTTTAGAGTAGTATTTTTGAAAAAAAGTAAATTTGGGTTATCTTTACAAGAAATGTAATTATTAATGCTTTGTGAGATGAATAAAATAAAATAAAATTTTAAGAATATTGAAACAAATGTATTTTTGGGTTTTTAGGATATAATAATATAATAGAATAGGGATATAATATTGAACCAAATGAAACCAAGTTTCGGAGTTTGAAGTTCTCAAGTTATTGTTAGACCTGAAGGATTTCAAGATCTATTTATTCTGAAATCATTCATCAGCCAAATGATTTCCTACGAACAAGATACAAGAGCGATTAAGTGTAGACAAAAGAATTTATCACAATATATAGATAAGATGATAAAACAAAGGGTGTAGTACCCACAAACACATCAGGGATTATGTGTCCAAGTTTCCCAAAAATTGGGATAACACCAAAAATTAAAGAAAGCAAAGTACATAAAAAAACAAGATGAAAACTGGAGAAAAAAAAGGTGATGTGTGGTGTTGGTTCCCACAAGAGTGGGTGTGGTTCACAGCCCTTTATCACTTTATCTTTTCACATTGCTTTCTCAACCTCATACCTCCTATTATCTTCCAAATCCTTGTATTTAGGACTATCTCTCTTCCTTGTATTTCCCTTTTGGTGCCCTTGTATTTTATGCTTTTTATAACATGTTCCCCTTAATTTGTATGCTTAATTATCAAATTCCTTTCATTTGTGCCCTCAATGTTATAAAAGATAAAAGAGGGTCGTAATTTCATTTGGACACTTTTGCCATTCAGAATAGTGAACGAGGACAAACATGTTCTGATGGAAGTATTATTGAGTTAAGTCTATTGAGTATAGGATTATTAGTCCTATTTAAACACTAGGAACAATAGGATTTTGTTCGCTTTGACACTATAAGGCCTTAGCGGATGCATTTTTAGCTCGAAGCCCAAAAAACAAAACCATAAGTATAAACCTATTGACCCTATTCAAACACTCAATTATTCTCATACGGGAGCGATGTGAGACTTTAAGTCACAATATTTTAGAGAAGTACGACATAATAAATATAATATCAATCTTATATTCTGTGATAAATAGGTAAATTTATTTGGGTACGATATAAATACAATTTGAAGTATCGTATCTTTATTTTTTCCCAAATCAGCATGACATGCCACGATTGACATCTTTAATTCACTCCATCAAATAATATTATATGTACAAAGTTTTGTATTTCTAACCTATGTGACATTCCCGGATTAGAGAAATCCTAATGAACCACTTATATATATTTATTCATATGATTCTTCGAGAAAAAAATTTCTTTGAAACTCAAAATGAAATTTATCAAAATTGAGGGGAGTCAAAGAAAATAAGCTAAACAAGAAGGACAACCATAGCAAAAAATCAGAAAAAAAATTATCAGGAACATATTTAATAAATAAATTCACAGCCGCACGATGAGTATAGTTCAACTCTTATCTGCCACGTATGAGGCATGACCACCCACTGGGTCCCATCTTGACAGCTGATTGGCTCTCCTCGCGCAGTCGCGCTCTTATAAAACTGAATGTTCTCTTTCAATCTCATATACTTCCCTTACGTAACTTACCACCCACACCCACTCCTCACTCTCTCTTCCCTTCTTCTTCCTCAAACAATCCAAAGGTACTCTTCGTTTCTCTCTTACTTTCCATTTACTTTTCATTTACTTCAGTAAAATATTATATGGATTTTTTAACTTCTTTTTTCGTCTTGTATGTTACAAGTTTTATGTTTTATATGCATGTAGAACGTTCGCATTTGAAACTTATTTTTTTGGTGTTGTATGCAAAAGGGTTTGGATTTTTAAAAAGGAAATTTTGTATCTTCTGATGTGAAAATTTGACTAAAAACTGAAGCAACTGAGAGCACATGAAAATTTTGATGTTAGAAATTATGTGTTTTGTGCTTATATGAGGAGTTATTATGTGAAGTATGGGCTTGTGAATGATCTTTCAGTTTCAGTTCTGGTATTTTAAGCTGAATTCGTTGGATGTGTTGCTCTGAGTGTTTTTGTTCTGCTTGTGTTGTCTTATTCTAAAAGGGAATATAATATAATATATATAAATATATTATATATTTTGTTAACAAACAACTTCTGTTGAATCGGTGGAACAGGATAATCCCAAACATTTAACGTAAATCTGACTCTCTGCAAGTCTTGTATGTGTCTTGTTTTACCATTTGCTCAGGTCACCTTTCATGTTTTCTTTTGAAAATTTATGTAAAAGAGTATCTACAAAATTTCCTTAAATGGGTCTTCTGAAAATTTGACTTATGGTCTAAATTTGAGTTTATTATTACCCATTATATTTTTGAAAAAATGCTTATGGGAAATATTTTCGACTTCTGAAGTGAATTAAGGAAAAGCTTTCTTGTAAAAAGGTTCAAGTCAAGTTATATTTTTTCATAGTTAATGATCAGTTGCTTCTCTGGTTTTGCTGTTCTCAGTCCAGCTGAATTCATAATTGTGGTGTTTGTGTTTCTTCTGGTGATAAAAATTTAATGTTTTAAAATTCTGAATTAAATTTCACTTGTTAATCATGGTTGTATATATTAGTTCTTGTTCGTGGTAAATGTTATTGTATGCCTTTTTGATTTAATGACACCCGTCGAATGCAGTAAGTCAACTGTGGATTTCCTTGTTTTGCGTGTGCAAGGATAAATTATGAATTTAATATAGTAGAAACCAATGAAGAAAATTAGAAAAAGTTGTAAGTTTAGTGATGAATGTGGAGTTTTAGCTCTAGAAAATTGTATATATCCGCAGGGTACAAGCTTGTAAAAGAGATCTATGATTGACTTCTGTTTTCATTTTTTTGAATTCTGTAGCTGAGTGTTTTGACACATTGAAGCATCAAGGATTTGTCGAACTTCAGCTTTTCGGTGACATTCCAAAGCGGGGAAGATGGACTACGTGTATGGACCAGGAAAGAACCATCTCTTTGTTCCAGGGCCTGTTAATATCCCAGACCCTGTCATTCGGGCAATGAACAGGAACAATGAGGATTACCGGTCTCCAGCAATTCCAGCAATGACAAAAGTTCTTCTTGAGGATGTTAAGAAAATTTTCAAGACAACTTCTGGAACTCCATTTTTGATCCCAACCACAGGTATTGTTATCATCCAATGAGTTAACTTTTATTGTTTTACTTTAAGTCTATGTGCTCTTAGTCTTCAAAAGATTGTATCTCGGTGTCAAAGATGATTTTAACTAGTTAATAGTAAGCTAGTTTGAGTTCTGATACAGATAAGATCACTTGGTGAATCAAATTTGTGCATATGATCATATGTGCGTGGGGTGTTTTTTAGAAGAATGACGAGATGATTTATAGGACTTTCCTGACTTTGGATTATTCATATTTTCCGAGGGATGCTTTTTCATCTAAAAAGGAAAAAGGAATTGATAGGTAAACATTATCATGTGTTTTATTATCTCAGTCTGTGTTTGTTGATGTTGTAATTTTGTTTTAGGCACTGGTGCTTGGGAGAGTGCGCTTACAAACACTTTATCACCTGGTGATCGAATTGTGTCTTTTCTGATTGGCCAATTCAGTTTGCTTTGGATTGACCAGCAGCAACGTCTAAACTTCAATGTTGATGTTGTTGAAAGTGATTGGGGCCAAGGTGCTAACCTTGACATTTTGGCATCGAAACTTGCCGAAGATACTGCACACACTATTAAGGCAATTTGCATTGTCCACAATGAGACAGCAACTGGAGTTACCAACAACTTGGCTAAAGTGAGAAAAATTCTTGGTAAGTGCATATCTTGCTTTATAGAATTTGACTTCTGGGTGTATAGTTTGTTTCTTCATGTGTTGGTTTAGATCTTCATCATAATTTTATAAGGCACACTGCATGAAATAAGTTTCAGAAGTGGCTGTTGAGTAGACAATGATTACTTAACCTTATCCACTTTCAGTATTTATAAGACGGGTTCCATGTTTTGTGTCTATTTTTCAGATGACTACAGGCACCCAGCTCTTTTCCTTGTCGATGGAGTGTCCTCCATTTGTGCTCTTGACTTTCGCATGGATGAGTGGGGAGTAGATGTGGCTTTAACTGGCTCTCAAAAAGCTCTTTCTCTTCCTACTGGAATGGGTATTGTTTGTGCAAGCCCCAAAGCTCTGGAGGCCTCCAAGACTGCAAAGTCACTGAGAGTTTTCTTTGACTGGAAGGATTACTTGAAGTTCTATCAAATGGGAACATACTGGCCTTACACCCCTTCCATCCAACTGCTGTATGGGCTGAGAGCTGCTTTGGATCTGATATTTGAAGAAGGCCTCGAGAATGTGATTGCGAGGCACACCCGTTTGGGCAAAGCAACCAGGTGAGGCCTTTTTGGCTTCATTGTACTTATCTTGATGTAGTTTTCTAAATTTATCGATAAGTAAGATATACACCCAACATACAAATCCTATGCAAATCAATAAGAGAGGAACTGTAGAGTTGGTATCCTTTCAATCCAGAGACCTTTGACTCCAAGCTATTTGGCATGAAAAATTGTGTTTGGGAACTCTTAGTAACTCTTAAATTTCCTTTTTGTCAAGGAATATAATTTGAATTGTGCTCTAAAAAGGCCTTGAAATTTGAATGTAGGCTTGCTGTGGAGGCATGGGGATTGAAGAACTGCACCCAAAAAGAAGAATGGTTCAGTGACACTGTGACTGCTGTGCTTGTTCCCCCATACATTGATAGCTCAGAAATTGTAAGAAGGTCATGGAAGAGATACAATTTAAGCTTAGGTTTGGGTCTTAACAAAGTAGCTGGAAAGGTATTTAGAATAGGGCATCTTGGACACATGAATGAGGTAATGTTTCATTTATTGAAGTTTTTTTCTATACGGATATCATACATTTCATTTCAAAATTTCAGAATTGTCTCTTGCATCATGGTCAGAAAAGTTTTTCAGGAAAACTGTTGCCACAATTATACCTACATACTGGTAGTTTCAAACAATGTTGATACTGCAACTCTTTGTCCTTCAAATGCCCCGCTTTCATCAAGTAGTTCATAGTTATATCACAAGTCTTAACTATTTTTTTTGGGAAAATACTGGACTGACCACACTTTTAGTTGACAATATATGACATGATTAATTCCATAGATCAGCCATATGTTCTATCTCAAGCAATTCTACCATTGTCAGATACTAGAATTTACGACTCATAAGAATTGCTTTGAAGTCGTCTGACCTTGCTTAATCTGTATTTTCTTCATCAACTTTCAGTTGCAATTGTTGGGTTGTCTTGCTGGTGTGGAGATGGCACTAAAAGACGTAGGCTATCCAGTTAAGATGGGAAGCGGAGTTGGGGCTGCTAGCGCATACCTACAGAACAACACTCCTCTGATCCCTTCCAGGATTTGATTCACCTGCAGCCCATGTAATTACTTTTCTCCAATCGTTTACTTCAGGGCACTATGTAAAGAATGTATAATTTTCCTTCCTGTGCTTGCACTCTCTTGATACTTGCCTAGTCTCCTTCTTGATACAATTGTTATGTATTATCCTGTATTTGGAACTTCTTTAATCCAATCAAAGTATTTTCCTTTCTTATTTTATAAGCTTCATATTTTTAGAGATGTCATTGTTCATCAAGAGAAGGAAAATTCTTTATGTGCCGAACAAATCGTTTGCCAATAATTTGATAGCAAGTTGTTCTATAAAACCTAGCTAATTAAACCATACATCATTTCGAAAAGAGATGTAATACGAGGAAAAATATCCGAAATATTCCCTCTAATTCCTGAATTCTTTGATGATTGAAGTGTTCAGATTAGTCCAGTAATCACCTATTATGCAATAAGAACTAATATTGAGTGTTAAATACTCAGTTTTATCTCATTTGTTATTTTCTTCTTTCTTTCAACTACTTTCTGGGATGAAAGATTTGAGATACTGATTGAAAAAAACAATGATGCTCTCGAAATTTCACCATTCAAAGCAACCTGAAAAATGCCTCAATCTCTCTGACAAAACAACTGCAAAAATGGGGTTTAGACTTTCTCTCTGTTAAGTTGGTTTTTTGAATTATGAGGAGAACCTCAATTCTATATATTCTTTTTCTTATTTCCCCTTCTCTTCAAGTTGTGCTGACAGGAAATGGATCTCCGAAACTATTATTACTATCTGACTAATATCAGCAAAATCTGGGAAATAGGATTCTGGGAAAGCATGTCTTAAGAGTAAAGCTTGCGAATTTGTTTTCTTCTACATTTGATACATTCATGTGCAGCTGCGGTACATGAGATTCCAGATTAGCATTCATCAGATTTATCAATGTCATAACAGTTCATCTTTGCAGCTCTGAACCTCCTCTCGAGCTCATTCAACTTCTTATCTTATCTCACTATCCAGGAGATCGTGGAACTTCAGATAGTTGAAAGCAGCAGCTAACTCAATCTTGAGCCTTTCAATTTTGTCCAGATGATTGCAGGAGTAAATGAAGCTTGGAAAGTCGAGTCAATAGTCAATACACACAAAAGCACATATTATAAACTCATATATGACTACTAGTTGCAGATTCTGTTAAGCAAAAGCAAAGAAGCAGAGCTAGCTTTCAGAAGGAACTAAATTGCACATTGACAATGGCAGTACTGTTCGTGCTACACTGGTACTTTTTGGTGGCCGGCGTATCTTCGAGGACTTGGTGTATCCAAGCAATAACCAGTACTTCGAGTTCTTAGAACTCGAAAGCCGCATTAGCAAGAATTAGCAGTGAAGAAGATGTCCTGGAAGAGTAGCTATAAAAAAAGCTGGAATTAGGATGCAAGGAAACCTGACTTGCTGAAGCACAACATAGGATTATTAGCATCAAGAAAGGCACTGAAATTGGCCATTTTTTTTTTTTCTTAACCGGAGTGTTTAAGTCAACTTGCGTACACTTCACAATAATTGGGATCCATTAACACCCTACAAGCCAACCACAACATTATTGTGATAGGAACTCCAAGTGTTGAACTCAAGAACTAAAAAAGGGAGCAAACCTCCTTGACTGCGGCTTTCTGAAATTGGCACTCTTTACTTCCTTTTTGGAAATCAATAGAGTATAAACTGCATATGATTCAACGCAACATTGATGCATCTAAAACAGTTTCAATTGTATGACTATCAAGCATAAGTGCATATGAATACAGAGCAAGTAAAAAAAAAAAAAAAAAAAAAAAAAAAAAAAAAAAAAACATTCAGAATATGATACATATAAAACTAGCTCAAAATGAATTCATTGTCATCACATAACTCTTCTTCATCTTCATCATTTCCCCCACAGCTTCTGCAAAAACCTTGTCTTCTCCATGATCTCCATCAAACCCACTTCCCAACAATTCACCATCACTCAATCCCTTCCTCATCAAATCTCCATCAACAGGTCTAATCACCACCAATGTAGCTCCTCTCATCCTGTATCCTGACACCGGTAACTCCAACTCCGGCGCATACGACAACTTGATGCTCAAGTCAGGTACTTTTGTCCTCTCGATCAACAACGGCTTGGACGCTGCAAATGGCTCCATACAAGCCCTCATCTCAACCAGCTCCTCCCGCCCCATGCACAGCTTCCCTTGCTTCTGTTCATCACTTATCACCACACTCTCAAGATTAGGATGGTCCAACAAAATCTTCTTCAAGAAATGATGCCGAGCAGACGCTGCAATCAAGCACGAAATCGTCCATATTATTCGAACTCTGAGCTCATCGTCAGTTAAAAACCGCTCTTCTTCTTGTTCCTGTTCTTGTAATTCTTTAACTTTTGCAAGAAAATACGAAGTGGCGCCAAGAATAATGCAAGACTTGAGCTGTCCACCGAACTCCGCCTTCCATTTCACCAAACAGTCACCGCCCACCAAATCGATCCCGCTGCCATAGAAGGGAAACTGAATGTGAATAAATTTGACATCTTCGAACTTTTTCAACACATTGATGAAAGAATGATGAACATTTGAGCTTTTGCTTGAAGGAGACTTCGAAGCGACGATTCGACGACAGTGTTTGAACGGTTTCGTGAAGACCCTGTTGAAGAAGATTCTCAACGAGGCTAAACACAAGCCATTGCCGGGTTTTGAGGCAGGAATGCGAGGAGGAATGGAGACAAAAAGAGCGTTGGTTTGAGGGATGAGAGAAGAGAACCGTTTACAGACAGAAAGACAGCGAGAAAGAGCTTTGACGTCAAGCAATTTGTTGAAGATGAGGAGGAGAAGAGCGTCAGGGAGACGATCAAAGTGGTCTTGTTGAACAACTTCCATGAACGTTTTGACAAGTTTTCATGGAGAAAAAAGGGAAATTGTGTTGTCTTTTGAAGAAGAAGATCTAGAAGAGGTAAAGGCGAAAAGGCACACGGATTTGACTATATTAACATTAACTGATTACTTCCATAAGACGATGTATTAACTGATTACTCTCAGATTGGACAATACATTAACCGATTACTCTTACTTTGGACAATATATTAACTGAATACTCTGAGATGGAGTAGTTAAAGGTCGGAAGATGACAATTGCTCATTCCTAAAACCATGAAAACTCTACCATTCCTATCGTATAGCTGGATTTAATCATAGATTATCTGGTATTTATTATTATTATTATTATTTTAAATCATGTTATTTATACATGTATTATCTTAATTATTGACATGATTAATATATTTTAAAAATAACTATTTTTGTTATGCTTATAAAATCAGGGCTGACGTGAGTTCACACCAACAAGGGTCAATCAGAGTTCACGAAGGCTTTGTGCCGTCTAGACACTACATCGCACAAGGACGGAAGAGGTAAGGTTATCGTCAGTGTGACCAGGTGAATGTCAGACTTGTGAGTAGTTAGGAGTTGTCCACCTGCCGAAGCCCTATGCGATTTAAGGATGTTTCCCATGCATACAACTAGTGGGAAGTGGGTTAAGAATTGTACCACACCTGCCCGACTGTAGAATCAGGATTGCTACCTTGAATCCCCCAACTATAAATAGATGACTCCTCTCTCATTTATGAGATTGACACATCTTTAGTCTTCAAAATTATACACACACTCTCTCTCCCCCTCTTTATATATTTGAGTTCTCTTTAAATTGTAATTCAGCTCGTTGTACGCGACCTAACTATAACCAACTATTAATACAACCACAGTGGACATAAAATTCGCCTTTGAGCATCCGAACCACTTTAAAAATTGCTCTTTTTTTATTCTCTCATTGCATATTTTCATACCACGTGTAATTTTTAAGTTAGCTTAACACTTTGCACGTGTGAGTCATTGGTGTCAAAATCAAATATTTTTATAACATGATATCATTAATTAAACATGTGATAATATTTTGTTGAATTCAAAAGTTTCTAAAAAGATAGAAGGTTTCCTATTAAACACGTTATTATTGACTAATGGAAGCAAAGAAAGGGTGAAACACAAAGCTTTTTATCTTTGCTTTATCAAAAGGATAACCTCCCTTATCTTTTTGCTTAAAACAAGACTAATTTAAATGATAAAAAAAAGAATTAACAATTACCTTTTTTGAATTTCCATACTCTATATTCATTAAAATTGTTACTGAAATTCATTAAAAACAAGTTTACCCATTTCGTATTTTTTATGCACATTAATGCTAAAAAAGAAAAGAAAAAGAAATTATGATAATCATGCAACCTTACCTTATAATGAAATATTCATAATATAAAAATTAATAATGATAAAATGGGTTTGGTTATAACTTTTAACATCTTTCCTCATGTTCGGCCTGAAAAGTTGGGTTCAAATCCAAACACATATGACTCTGATGTAAGACAAATACAACTTTTAACAAATCGATCTCTTTTACAATTGTGACCCTTTTCTTATATTGAAAATTGCAAAATTTTATTTTTTTAGTATTTACCGATTCCATCTATCAGTAGCCCAAATTTAAAAATACAGAAATATTATATACAAATATAAAATATAAATTGATAAAGTTTATACTTTAAGTTTAGGGTTATTAGTTATATAATAATAGCTTAAAGTCAGAAATTTATGGCGAAGAATCAGGAATATATGAAGCAAGAAGATGATGTGATAGCAGCCATTAAAAGGTGAAAAACAAGAAGCTTTTGGTTTAATTATTCAAAGCCCCAAACCCAATAAACGCCATTCACATTGGATTCGGTTGGCAGCTCAAAGCTTTTCTAGCCCATTGTATTCAAATTTAAATTGGGGAGGTTTTTACACGGACATCCCCGAGGTTTAGTGAAATAAAAACCGAGATCTACAAGTTTTAAAGTGAAACATTTACACCCTTGTAATTGAACAATGTTCATGAAATGTAATTATCATAAGGATTATTTCCTAAATGTCTTATCGAATTTTGAATCATTTAATATATTTAATAATTTGATCATGTCACAAATGTCAAACATTAGTTTTGTTTTATTTGAAAATAAAACATGAAATAAGAAGGATATATTGGTCATTGTACCTGTTCAACCGTTTGAGCTTGACTCATTCCTATTTGCACTTTGTGGTCGGCTAAGTTGTGTTGTGACAATTAATATGTTGTAAAATTTGTAGTTTAGACAATGTATACGGCCTTAACTCGATTAATTTTTTTTTTTTTACTAGAGTGTTTAGGTCAATTTGCGTACACCTCGACTAATCCCTTAAGATTCTGAAGTTAACGATAGATAAACTCTCTAGTGGTCATCCCTATTAGTAACTAAGGAGAATCGGATTCAAAATTTCTTGAGTAATAAACTCAATTAAAACTATGAATGGTTTAAAAGAAATGATACTAACTCGATTAATTTTGCACTGGTTAAACTTGGTTTTCTATCTATTTTAAGAGCAAAAATAGACAATAGGGTACGTAAATGGCTATTTCTGAACTTTTCGATTGGTAAAAGTGTCTTTATGAATAGTTTTATAAGGGTGTAATTCAATAACCATTTTGTAGTTTTGATAAAGTATACGACAATAACTTGTAGAACGGAGAGACTGTATAATTTGGAGGAGCTAAGTAAAAGGTTTGGGATTGATATACTTCCATTAATTCAAGTTTACTATGCATATTTCAGGTCAAATGACTGGCTTTTGCCTTTTAGTACAAGAGACGTCCCTCCTCTTTGACGTTAAATAGTACTTCCATCATAATCACATTATAATGTTGAGTGTTGACGGCAAGGGAGGTATTATTATAAACTAGGGAAAGCCCCATTAGTTGGTTGTTGTTGAAAGGGTTCAACGAATTTGTACACACCTTAAACGAATTTTCTATGCTTTAAAGTTGATAATTAGGTAATTTTTTCAGCGGTTATCCTTATAAGAGCCTATAAGGATTCGAATTTAGAAACTTATGAAACCCTATTTTACTCTTTTACCATCAGACTATCTAGTGATGGTTGACAAGATTTCATCCTGAAGAGGGTGTTTTGTAGGAAGAATGTTCTAATGGCCGTGGAGTGGTATTCTTTCCAAATTTGGGAGGAATGCCATCTATTAGGCTAAAATGTCTAATTTACCTGTTCTTTAAATTGTGATTTTCCATTTTACTCTTAAATCAATTTAATTTGTCCAATTTTTCAAAAATTGGACAATCTTCAAACCGGTTAATGTCAATCAAATCTGCTGGATGGCTAATTTCACTCACTCTGCTAGCATTATTTGTCAGCACTTGACAAATCACTAGATAACGATCTGCCCATCTAGGCAGATCTCGACTGTCGAAAACCATCATTGTGATGTCACAACGACGATCTTTAACTATTAAGATTTGCTCAAATAGGGCATATTCTTGGCCGGTGATTCCTCATGCATTGTTGGTGATGTTGGAAGTGCGTGACAAATTCGTTGATCGGCCTGAAATTTTAAATATTTTTTGAAAATTTTTAATTTTGAAATTATTTAAAAATAAAAAAATATATTAAATTAATAAAATAAAGTAATGGTATTTTAATCCAAAAGCAACAAATTATTCTTCATTCCATTAACATCTTCTTATTACAAGCAAACAAAGTAATCTCATAATACTTTCATTCCATTGATTCTAAGAATGCCCAATGTGTGAAGGACCATTAATGGGCTCCTTAATAATCCCAAGATATATACAATAGTCTTTTAAGAACTACCATATTAAAAAAAAAAAAAACTCTTATGATAGAAATAGCACATCCGGAATATAGTGAAATCACTTTTTCTATTATTTCATTTCGTTCTAGGAAAAGGATTCCTCTCCTAGATTCCTCGGTGTAGATACCTAAACTCTTTTAAGTAACCTTCAGAATAAGATATGTCTATCATATAAAAATGAGTACCACAAAGTTATTTTACTAGAGGCCAAGTAGTCAATTTACCTCGATCTGTAAATATAAGTTTTATAATTTTAAGAAAATAAAGTTGCATTTATGCTAACAGTTAGAAGTGTTCAAAATCGGTTAACCAATTTTGTAAACTAAACTGATTTTTCGGTTTAGGAATTTTCTTGAACTGAAACCAAACCAGTTAAGGGGAAAACTGGTTTTAATTTAATATTTAATATTTTCATAATAAACCATTATTTTTTATATTTTAATTTAATATTTTTTTATAATAAACCAGTTAATAAAATCGGTTCTGGTTAACTGTTTCTTATATTTTTCCAAACTGGTAACTGAACCGAAAATTTGGTTTTTTTAATTTATTTGAACCGAAATCGAACCAATTTTTCAGATAACCGAAAATTTGATTCGGTTCAGTTTTTTTTTTTTTGTTTTTTTAACATCTCTACTAATAGCTATAACTTTTGGACTGATGGTGAATGCCTGATCATGATATATTTATCTAATTTTTTAGAGTTCTATTAATTTCAACAAACTCTTATTATTATTATTATTATTTTGTATAATTATTTTTAAAATGACCGACAATTTTCAATAATGGAATTACTTGAAAGACCACTCATAGGCTTACACCTAGCCCCTTCCTCTATAAGTGAAAGACAACTGGAGCCCAAGCAGAAACGGTCAAAGGGAGAGTTGGCAAATACAAGAGAGACAAATTATGCAATATGTTGTGGGCTCATTTGGCATCTTCCCATTGGTCAAGATAAAACCCACAGACATACCAACACATAATACAATAATAAAATAAAATAATTAATAATTTATTTTCAAATAATACAAACAATAAGTTGTCAATATTGTCTCTTATGCCAACAATTAACCAAAAAAAATTTAAAAAAATCCCACCGTTCATTTCTTATCATCTCCAAGTTTGCTTGATTAATCATCAAGGAATATATTTTCTTTGTATTTTAATTCATTAATTGAATTATGAGAGATTGAAAAACGTTTTTTTGCGTCTCTAACAATATGTAATTAATGATGAATAAATGTTTTTACTTACACTGATATATACATATGGTTTAAATCGAATTTCTGAAATCTTGGGAGCTAGGGAATTTGAATCTGAGACCGTACACTTTAACCCACATTCCAACGTTTATTTTGTCACTCGAACTACTCAAAGGTTGGTTAAATCAAACCGTTCATACCAATTTGAGCTTTCGAGTTTTGATATTTTTCTGCCCCTTACTAGCATACCTCTCAAATTTGTATTTCCTTTTCCAATCCATTTATATTAATAAAAAACTATTTTAATATTTTTTATTATTTTACTTTTCAAATATCAAGAATTAATTTAATTTAAAATAAATAGATAAATGAAATTTAAATTAAAAAATTAAGTAATAATAATATTAACTTCTCCTTCTTTTGGGTGCTTTGGTGGAGCCACCCACACTGGGCGCAGCTGTACGCCGCACCACACCGTAGCATCTCTCAATACGCAAAGCCCAGCAGCATATTCAGCTCTTGCAGAGGAATATGGTGACGAGGCACAGCCAATGATTGCGAGCTTTCGATGAGGAAGAAGAAAAAAGATCAAAAACTGAAGATTGAAGATGGCTTTTGGTGAAGACAATTTAAAAGGTTTCCTTTTGGCATTGATGTCAAGCGTGTTTATCGGTGCCAGCTTTATCATCAAGAAGAAAGGACTCCGACGGGCTGCTGCTGCTTCCGGTGTTAGAGCTGGTCAATTTTCTTCTCTGTTTTTTTATTTTTCTTTAAATTATTTTTGGGGATTATATTATATGTTTTCAGGCTTTGATTCTTGGATTTTTGTAGGTGTTGGTGGGTTTTCTTATCTCTTGGAGCCTCTTTGGTGGCTTGGTATGATCACAAGTAAGTTCTTTTCTTTTTTAATTGTTGTTTTTCTTTCATGTCCTTAGTTTTTTTGAGGTTATTTTGATCCAATTTAAGTGTTATTGAGTGTTAAATTTTGTGATCATGTCATAACTGAGAGCTTGATGAATCATTTTATTGATTCTTTAGGTTGGTTTTATGTTAAAATTGCTTGATTTTATCATGAAATGAAATGGTTCATATCCTCTTCGAATTCGTGGTTTTAGGTGATAGTATAAAAGTTTTTGCTTTGATTTTGTTTTGGCATTACTAGCTATGCTATGCTGATTGTGATTTACTCTATGAATTTGTTTTTTCACTGATTGTTTGCAGAATGTCATTTTTTGTCTGATTTATGGTATAGTGATTGTGGGAGAAGTCGCCAATTTTGTGGCGTATGCATTTGCCCCGGCTGTTCTTGTTACTCCCCTTGGTGCATTAAGTATTATCGTAAGGTAATAGCTTACAGTTCAGCATTTGATTTTTTGTATTTATCTTAATACTTCCATCTGTGGTTATATGATGTGTGTGAGTGTGTTTTAATGTTTTGGATGGTGTAGTGCTGTGTTGGCTCACTTTATCTTGCATGAGAAGTTACACCAGCTAGGAATTTTGGGATGCTTAATGTGTATAGCCGGCTCTGTCGTAATTGTTATCCATGCACCACAGGAGACTCCTATCACTTCAGTTCAGGAAATTTGGGGCATGGCAACCCAACCAGGTTTGTAGTTACATTATATTCATTTATTAGATTTTCAATTTAATTACCATTTTGGTATTGACTTGACAATATCTTCTTACTGTTTTCCAGCTTTTTTACTTTATGTGGGCTCAGTAATTGTGTTGGTGTTCATTCTGGTCTTCCACTTTGCACCACGATGTGGCAATACAAATGTGTTAATTTTCACAGGCATTTGTTCGTTAATGGGTTCTCTCTCGGTAATATTTGAACTATAGTAATTTTTTTTTTAATTAAACTTTTTATTGGATATTCCATGTTGGTGGAGTACCTTTTACTTGTGTTAAATACTATTGTTTCCATACTCTCCAAACTTAACATTATCTCTTTCCCAAAATTTTTTGTCTCATTTTTCAAGCTTTCTTTTTTTGGTTTCTAAAGTTTTAGTTATCATATTTTAGGGAATGAGAACATTTGACAATGTGATAAGTTTTTTACTTCAAAACATTTTTTGGCATCCAAAAATAGATGGTCAGATAGACATTTTACAATGGAGGTATTATGATAGATTCCACATTTTGAGTTGCTAAAGCTTCATTATAGTTGAAGCTCTAAATCTTATATCCAAGTAAATGGATATTCTAAATAATTGATAGATCTCAACGAGAATATATTTATATATTTTTTTGGGTGAATTGCTTCTGTCTAGTGCTTGAAGTTTTGAGTGGGTGAAAATGGTTTGATTTAACAGTCGACAAGAAATGAGTTTCTGTTATTATTTTTTTTCTTTATCTTTTCTAAGGCAAGATATGAGTTATTACAGTATATAGATCAATGCTCAGTCAATGCTATTATCTGAGCTTTTGGACTTCTTTTCTGTTAGGCAAATTTCTTGTTCTTTGTCTACCTTTGACGTGCTGATAATTTGCAATCAATACACAGGTGATGAGTGTTAAAGCACTTGGAACTTCACTGAAATTAACCTTTGAGGGAAAGAACCAATTACTATATCCTCAGACATGGTTTTTTATGTTAGTTGTGGCCATATGTGTCATCACTCAGATGAATTATCTGAACAAGGTTAGTGATGTGAGATATTACCAATTGGCTTTCCAAAATTTTATTGTTTTCCCAATTTATCATTTTGTGTAGTCAGTTAGGTGGTTTTCAGGTTAGTATTGTATATCTATTGCTCAGGAATAACACGTTTAGTGACACTACGCGTAGCATTAGCCATCTAGGGTTTAGCACTAAGCTGTATGTTTAATGTTTAAAGTAGTCTTATATACTGGTATGAGGAAGTTATTTGCTTTATAAATCTGTGTTCAATTTCATCTGTGAGGAGGATTTAGTTTTCAGAGCAAGTTCAAATGAATGATGGATTAAAAATCTTTTTGACTTTTTTTTTTTTTTTTTTTTCTTTTTTTGTTTTGTTTCAGGCACTTGACACATTCAATACTGCAGTTGTATCTCCGATTTATTATGTCATGTTCACATCATTCACAATCCTTGCCAGTGTAATAATGTTCAAGGTATTGTTATTTCACCATTGTTTGTATTTGTTAATTGAGAGGTAAATGAACAGATGAAGCTCTAGATTGCACCACACCGTAGCATCTCTCAATACGCAAAGCCCAGCAGCATATTCAGCTCTTGCAGAGGAATATGGTGACGAGGCACAGCCAATGATTGCGAGCTTTCGATGAGGAAGAAGAAAAAAGATCAAAAACTGAAGATTGAAGATGGCTTTTGGTGAAGACAATTTAAAAGGTTTCCTTTTGGCATTGATGTCAAGCGTGTTTATCGGTGCCAGCTTTATCATCAAGAAGAAAGGACTCCGACGGGCTGCTGCTGCTTCCGGTGTTAGAGCTGGTCAATTTTCTTCTCTGTTTTTTTATTTTTCTTTAAATTATTTTTGGGGATTATATTATATGTTTTCAGGCTTTGATTCTTGGATTTTTGTAGGTGTTGGTGGGTTTTCTTATCTCTTGGAGCCTCTTTGGTGGCTTGGTATGATCACAAGTAAGTTCTTTTCTTTTTTAATTGTTGTTTTTCTTTCATGTCCTTAGTTTTTTTGAGGTTATTTTGATCCAATTTAAGTGTTATTGAGTGTTAAATTTTGTGATCATGTCATAACTGAGAGCTTGATGAATCATTTTATTGATTCTTTAGGTTGGTTTTATGTTAAAATTGCTTGATTTTATCATGAAATGAAATGGTTCATATCCTCTTCGAATTCGTGGTTTTAGGTGATAGTATAAAAGTTTTTGCTTTGATTTTGTTTTGGCATTACTAGCTATGCTATGCTGATTGTGATTTACTCTATGAATTTGTTTTTTCACTGATTGTTTGCAGAATGTCATTTTTTGTCTGATTTATGGTATAGTGATTGTGGGAGAAGTCGCCAATTTTGTGGCGTATGCATTTGCCCCGGCTGTTCTTGTTACTCCCCTTGGTGCATTAAGTATTATCGTAAGGTAATAGCTTACAGTTCAGCATTTGATTTTTTGTATTTATCTTAATACTTCCATCTGTGGTTATATGATGTGTGTGAGTGTGTTTTAATGTTTTGGATGGTGTAGTGCTGTGTTGGCTCACTTTATCTTGCATGAGAAGTTACACCAGCTAGGAATTTTGGGATGCTTAATGTGTATAGCCGGCTCTGTCGTAATTGTTATCCATGCACCACAGGAGACTCCTATCACTTCAGTTCAGGAAATTTGGGGCATGGCAACCCAACCAGGTTTGTAGTTACATTATATTCATTTATTAGATTTTCAATTTAATTACCATTTTGGTATTGACTTGACAATATCTTCTTACTGTTTTCCAGCTTTTTTACTTTATGTGGGCTCAGTAATTGTGTTGGTGTTCATTCTGGTCTTCCACTTTGCACCACGATGTGGCAATACAAATGTGTTAATTTTCACAGGCATTTGTTCGTTAATGGGTTCTCTCTCGGTAATATTTGAACTATAGTAATTTTTTTTTTAATTAAACTTTTTATTGGATATTCCATGTTGGTGGAGTACCTTTTACTTGTGTTAAATACTATTGTTTCCATACTCTCCAAACTTAACATTATCTCTTTCCCAAAATTTTTTGTCTCATTTTTCAAGCTTTCTTTTTTTGGTTTCTAAAGTTTTAGTTATCATATTTTAGGGAATGAGAACATTTGACAATGTGATAAGTTTTTTACTTCAAAACATTTTTTGGCATCCAAAAATAGATGGTCAGATAGACATTTTACAATGGAGGTATTATGATAGATTCCACATTTTGAGTTGCTAAAGCTTCATTATAGTTGAAGCTCTAAATCTTATATCCAAGTAAATGGATATTCTAAATAATTGATAGATCTCAACGAGAATATATTTATATATTTTTTTGGGTGAATTGCTTCTGTCTAGTGCTTGAAGTTTTGAGTGGGTGAAAATGGTTTGATTTAACAGTCGACAAGAAATGAGTTTCTGTTATTATTTTTTTTCTTTATCTTTTCTAAGGCAAGATATGAGTTATTACAGTATATAGATCAATGCTCAGTCAATGCTATTATCTGAGCTTTTGGACTTCTTTTCTGTTAGGCAAATTTCTTGTTCTTTGTCTACCTTTGACGTGCTGATAATTTGCAATCAATACACAGGTGATGAGTGTTAAAGCACTTGGAACTTCACTGAAATTAACCTTTGAGGGAAAGAACCAATTACTATATCCTCAGACATGGTTTTTTATGTTAGTTGTGGCCATATGTGTCATCACTCAGATGAATTATCTGAACAAGGTTAGTGATGTGAGATATTACCAATTGGCTTTCCAAAATTTTATTGTTTTCCCAATTTATCATTTTGTGTAGTCAGTTAGGTGGTTTTCAGGTTAGTATTGTATATCTATTGCTCAGGAATAACACGTTTAGTGACACTACGCGTAGCATTAGCCATCTAGGGTTTAGCACTAAGCTGTATGTTTAATGTTTAAAGTAGTCTTATATACTGGTATGAGGAAGTTATTTGCTTTATAAATCTGTGTTCAATTTCATCTGTGAGGAGGATTTAGTTTTCAGAGCAAGTTCAAATGAATGATGGATTAAAAATCTTTTTGACTTTTTTTTTTTTTTTTTTTTCTTTTTTTGTTTTGTTTCAGGCACTTGACACATTCAATACTGCAGTTGTATCTCCGATTTATTATGTCATGTTCACATCATTCACAATCCTTGCCAGTGTAATAATGTTCAAGGTATTGTTATTTCACCATTGTTTGTATTTGTTAATTGAGAGGTAAATGAACAGATGAAGCTCTAGATTTAATGATGATTTGTTGAAGTGGCTCTGTTCCATGACCTCAACCTTAGTCAGTGAATAAAATTTCCAAAATATTACCCTCTGATGGATTTCATCATTTTGCCAAGCCGGGCATAGCATAATATACAGCCAATTTGATTATCAGTCTAATGTGATGAGAATTCTTATGTGATAAAATATGATTATAGGACTGGGATGGCCAAAGTGGGGCAAACATCATATCGGAAATATGTGGCTTTGTAGTTGTGCTTTCTGGGACCATTTTGCTACACACAACCAAAGACTTCGAGAGAAGTTCTTCTTTTAGAGGTGTGCAACATTAGTTACATTCTTTCTTACACTGTCATAATCTCCTTGCTCTATATCTGTGTCAAATCAGCTCAATAGATCTTAAATTGTTCTTTTTAACCATTCTATCTTAACTTTAGGTGGCTATTCATCTTTATCCCCTGCATTATCACCTGTATCTCCGACATTAAGTACCCGACTCTGCAGTGGGAATGGGGAAGTAATGCGGCATGATAATGATGCGCCACATCCTGAGGAAACTTGTTTCAGAAGACAAGAAATGTACTAGATGTCTACCTCCCGAGAAGCGAAATTCAAATTTTAGAAACTGAAAGAGATCCCAACAGGTGTTTTGACATGATTTCTGTTTGGATCCAAGTGTAATTGGGGGAATATCTTCAAAACTCATACGAGTATTTACCTCATCAAATTGCGAGTTTCGACAGGTTTTTCATTACTGAGATTTCTTGTGAGGAGGTATGAGATAGAAGCATTACCATAAACAGTCCATACTTTGTACAGTGTGTAAAATTGCTGGCATTTTTTGAATTGTTGGTTTATTCAACTCAATGAATAAAAAGCTGAGATGGTTGTAAAAAGGCCACTTCCGATCCCTGGGAACACCAAGAAGCCTGGAATTTTTGGTTGACGAAGCTGAAGGCTACTTCATCATTTGAGATTGAGCTTTAAAGAAGATAGAGTGATTATGTTTGATATTTTGGGTGTCTTGCCTTTCCATTGACAAGAAGAAGAAGCAAAATTCTTGTGCAGTATTCTTGCCTATTTGTTCTAGTTTTATAGAGCTTATTCATCATAAAGAACAACAAATAAATATATATGATTTATTCATAGTGATTTAGCCAAGCCTAGTCATGACTCATGAGCAATTTTGTTTCATTTTTTTGATTTAAGATTGGATATGGTTTCCATTTTGAGTTTATGAACTGAGAAAAGAGAGAGATAAACATGGAGTTGGGGAGATACGTTAATACATTAAGTAATTAGGACTTAGGAGTTCAATCAGGGATTTACGACATTATTCTTGTATATTCATTCTTCTATTTATTTTCTGATAACTTACTTCTTATACACAATGTTCATGTACAAATTAAGCATGGTGAAATCGAAATAACACCCATGATTTTTTAAAAGTATTGTATACCTTCTTGAATTATAATTTATTCTCTTAAGATTACCATTTAGTATTAACCCTTGAAAAAGTAACAAAACCCCCGTTAATAGGAGATATATGATTCTTTTTAAAAATCGTGGGTATGTCTTTAATTTCATTATCTGTTTAGGGGTTAGATGATAAATCCAAATTTTTCAGGCCAATTTATCAAGTGTTATGTCCTTAATTAATTTATATTTTTTGTGATAAAAACAAACCGATCGACATCGACTCCATGGCCCAATGGATAAGGCGCTGGTCTACGGAACCAGAGATTCTGGGTTCGATCCCCAGTGGAGTCGAACCATTTTTTAAATTATTATGTTTTTAATTGGAATTTAAATATTTATTACCCAATTTTATATAATAAAGCCTATTTTTTTTTTTTTCAATTGGGTTTTAATTTTAATTTAAATATTTATTACCCAATTTTATATAATAAAGCCTATTTTTTTTTCTTTCAATTGGGTTTTAATGTTAATTTGAATATTTATTACCCAATTTTAAATTAATAAAGCCTTTTCCAAACAAAATTTAGATTTTCTTTCAGTTTTTATTTTCTTCAATTTTTATATAGTTAAAAAAAAAAAATTACAGAAATAAAAATTGAAAAGAATATATACTGTAATTGGACAAAAGGGTACTATAGTCTTTTTAGTGAAGTAATAAATTTTTTGGGTGCCGCTGTTACTATCTGAAACACTTAGGTGTCTTGTAATTTGCTTAAACCTTGAGGAGGAGAGTATTAAGTATTTAGAGTAATTTAAACCCTTTCTACAGGTGAGGTGAACAACAAAACCTCTCTCTTGGCTTCTATAATATAAGCTGTACTATCAGTTCAAGTGCTTTGTGTTTGATTCATTCTTTTTCTTGCATTTTATGAAGTCGTCATGCCTCCAAAACTAATAAGACTTGCCCCACACGAAGCTGAGAACGAGTTTGAACTATCTCTAAGGCAAGCCTTCGCAGTTGTTGAGCCGCAGCTAAGATCCCCATTCCCATTGACAATTCCCAGTCCAGAAGAATACTCCCAGTTGAATAGCGCCATACTCTATGGCGTTTTGACTGAACCCCACCTCGCCAAAGTCCATATCAAGCATCTACATGCTGTAGTCACTGATGGGTATGGTTTATTTGTGAGTTTGCTTGTAAAAATTGTTAACGAACTGTATGTGAAACTTTTTTATTCGGTGAAAAGTCAACTGATTTGGGTTACCAAGGAGATGATTGATGTTTTAGCTGTAGGATTTGATGGGTTGTTGTGCTGTTTGTTGAGGCAGATTGTTGGTGGGGATTTTAGTGATGTGAATTTGTGGTTGTGTTTTGAGCTGGTGAATGTGTTTTTGGGTAAATGGGATTGTTTATTAGAGGAGGAACCTTTGGTTTTGAGCAGTGCATTGTACACTTTTCTTCGTTTATTAGCTGATCATTGTAGGTTTTCGAGTAATGAGAAATTGGATCCATTGAAGCAATTAGAGATTGAGTATTGCGTCAAAATGTTGAGGGAGCAGTTTCATTTGTGTTTAAAGGTAGGTAGGGATCTTGTTCGGTTACTACAGGATTTGGTTCATGTACCAGTGTTTCGAGCTATATGGAAAGATTTGGCATTGAACCCAAATGAGTTTAAGACTCCAGGGTTCTCAGATTTATCACAGTTGGATCACCTTAGGACTTCAAGTAGGTATTTTTTACTTAGGATCACTCCTGAAATGGAAAACCAGTTGCGATTTTTGCTTACACATGTGAAATTGGGGAGACAAAAACGGTATCAGGTTTGGTTTACTAAGAAGTTTATATTTGGGCCGGAGAGAGAGACTCTTATAGTTGACATTGTACGGTTCATATGTTGTGGGCATCACCCTTCTAATGAAGTTCTTCAATCGGAGGTTATTCCTAGATGGGCTGTCATTGGTTGGCTTCTTAAGTGCTGTAGGAAGAAATATGTTGAAGCAAATGTGAAGCTGGCACTGTTTTTCGATTGGCTTTTCTTTGAAGAAAGTTTGGATAACATAATGAATATTGAGCCTGCAATTCTGTTGATGGTATGCTCAATACCCCAATATATTGACGTGACACACACCCTTCTTGATTTTTTGTTCCTTCTTGTGGATAACTATGACATGGACCGTAGTGATATTATAGTTAGAGGTGTAACATCTGCTTTTGGTGCATTGGTTCAGAAGGGAGTGATTCACTCCCTGAATGTGTTGACCTCATGCGAAGCACTTTCTCCTTACCTGAAAGAGAGGCTTGGGAAGCTTGTGTTAGCATCTAAAGCTGGAGATCCTAAGGGGTTGCAGTCGGCGCATGTTTTCAGTTTGCCACTTTTAACTCCACCCCCAGAAAGACAGCCTACAAAAACTGGGGAAGATGGATTGAGAACCAGATCTGCCAATGCTTCTGTTTCAATTTCGGATGACTTGGCAACTCCCTGTAGTTTGCCAGTTATTACTGCTGAAACTATTAAGAGTTTGGTTCAAAATCTGGGAGAAAGTATAAGAAATTCAAGTAAACTGGGCCTTGAAACGTTGGATGCACTACTTCTATCATTTGTAAAACTTGAGTGCCAAAAACCAGGAAGTGCATCCATAGGGCCAGAAGCTTTATCTTCTAAAATATCGAAGGAATTTGAATTAAATGGCTACAAGCTGTTTGCTCCTCTTGAAAATCTTCCTGATGCTCCTAACCATGATGATGAAATTGGGTCAGCAACAGCCTTCGTAATTCGCACAATAATATTTTCACAGCATGAGAGTATGCAAAAAATGCTGCTGTTCTGGTTAAAGAATGGTTTTCCTGTTGGAGCACGCATATTATCATATGCTTCAAGGCTAGCTTATGAGGCAGATATGGTGAAAAGTTTGATGGTTGACAATGATCTGGTTAAAATAAATGGTTCAGGGATGGAGTTATTGATCTCTCATGCTGATGGTTATTATGCTTTTCTGAATGAAAGAAACGGAGATTCCTTTGGATCCATTGTTTCAACTTTTGTAACCAATAAAGAATTTGTTGCTAAGTTAGTGGATAGTGCTTTTGCTGCTTACAGATGTTTCCTTGCTTACACGAAAACTATCTTACATGGAGAAGCTGATACATCTCTGTCTAAGCTTCTTCTCTCTGATTTGATATCTTGTTACACCTGGGGAAAGAAAAGACAGAAATTCTTACTTGGCAGCATCTTTTGTCATCTTACGGATTTATTGGTTAGTGAGGAATACATTATCAAGTTTATTGTCAGTCGATTGAATCATGCTGATCTTGTAGATATACGGCTAGAAATTGGCTTGAAGAAATACTCTTTATTTGGGGAGAATATAGAAGCCATTTCCCACTTAATTATGAACTCTCTCCATTGGGACTGCATAGAACAACATAAATTTTGGGACTTGGTTAGGTCAGAGATTGCGGTTTCTAAGATTCAGGTGGAGAAGATCATTTTGGAATTTTTCTGCTCTCATGATTTAGATGCAAATGTTGATGCCATTGCTGTTGGAGGCCTTTTGTCGTTATGCAATTTTTGTGCCCCAACGCTTGAGCTTGTTGGGGCAATCATGTTATTACCAAATAATGTGTTCCAGGACTTCTCTGCTGCAGCTCTGGCTGCATGGTTTATATCTAATTCCTCGATGCTGTTTGACAGCTTAGCTAAATTTTCAGAGAAGTTTGACAACAAGAATGAAGATTCCGTTTTCTCCAATTCGACTGGGATTATGATAAACCGGTCTGCCATTTTATGGTTGTTGAATCATTTTAACGTGCAGGGGACAAGTAGCTCTGATGTTTTGAGTAACTTGTCTATCAGTCTACAAGGCTAGAAAGCGACATAAGTGTCATTTAGGAATTTTATGATGTTTCTTTCACCTTTTGGTAAGCTAGTTAGCCGGTTGTCTTAAATACCTGAACTTAGTTTCTTTAACAGTTTTCTGTTTAAATAATTAGTTTCTTTAACAATTTTTGTAGTTGCATATGGTGGGACTGCTTTTATGGTCACTACAAATTTATTTAATCTTTTTTAATCATATTTCTGTTCATATGGTGCATAAAGGGTCTCAGATGTTTCCCTTACAGTTTTTTCTTGTTTGCTTGCAGTTTAAGTTTTTCCTGTCGCTGCAACAATCAATTCATTTCTGGTCACTTCTGTACATCAAGATAGCTAAGCAGCATCAGATGAGGGCAGCACTGGTTGATGATGCTCTTCCTAGTATACTGGATGAAGAAACATTGTTGATTCAGATGCATGCTGCAACATTTGTTTTTGAACGTTTAGGTGGATGCAGCTATCTTCTCCTTCAGACAGGACAACCCAGATGTTAGGTCAACCCATCTATGACCCCTGGGTTTTGAAAGATAGGCGACCAACTGCTGTAGCCAAATAGGTAGCTACTAAATCTTATTCCAAGTTGGAAATGTTGGTGCTTCATAGTTCTGTATCTAATGAAGGATCCAATTGTTTCTTTCAGAATGCATTAAATATCAGTATTTTACTTGTGAGAGTGCAGTGAACCATTTGTCATCAAAGTCATAGAAGGTTAACTTTCCCAAAGGCTTAAAGATGTCTCCGATTTTTGCCTTAGTGATTATACTTGTTTAGTCTCACAGTTAACTTCTTGTTCCTTTGGTTGTGACAATTCATTCCAGGTCACTTCTGGACATCAAGATAGCCAAGAGGTTTGTACTGATTGCAACACTAGTTGATGATCGGTTCCCCAGTGGACTACATGAAGGTCTGTTGGTATTTTTTAATATTTAGGTTGATGTCAGTGGCACCTCTTCTATATGAGACAGCCGGAGTTTGGGGGCACTGTGGGAAGAGATGTCTGGCTGCTGCATCAAAATGGGTGTGACTTCAAATTTGGCTTGGCCTATTGGTTGTTGTCTAATGACTAAACCAGCTGTCTCAATTCCACCCTTCTTGTCATTTTCCAGAATTTGATTTACATGTCCTCTAAAAGTGTGCAACACTGTTTATTGCAGAGCTTTGAAAATTTGGATACTGCTCCAGCATCATGTCTCAATGATTAAAGCTAAGACTGAAGGGCTCTCTAAAGGTAAATACCAGTCGGTTGCATGAGTAACTTTTAGAGGGTTAACTTTTGTGGAGACCTTGCTGTGTCTTTGGATCTGATAATTTTGACAGTGGAGCATGCTCTTCTATATGCTGGTTTTAGTCATGGCTCAGTGATTGCTTTTCTGTCAGAAAAACCATTCATGGCTCAGTGATTGCTTTTCTGTCAGAAAAACCATTAACAATGTAAAGTTTCAAACACCATGGCTGATAGGAAGTACAATGCTTTAACTATTTATCTTTATAGGTAAGTTCAATTTCGAGTGCATTTACGTTGTCTGGTAGTTGACAGCCGAGGATACATCGAACGTATCACGTCATTTATGCGTCAAGATAAAAAACTATCATATAAATATCATTCTAAAAATCACCAAATCATATTTATTGTTAAAATTGATGAAAGAGAAAAAAGTGGGCATGTCATGCAGTAAATAATTTGACTCATGAATGATGTGATACGTTCGATGTATTCTAGATGTTTCGTAACAGCAATGATTGCTATACTCTTTGTTTTGCATATAGCAAGATCATTGATCTAGTTCATAGGGTCGTGGTACGTAGTTAGGCACTTAGGCTTCAAGAAATGAACAATTTTCCATTTTTTTTTTTTATTATTGTTTCTACTAGGCAATTGCAATGGTGTTAATAATATTCTCTCTCTTATAAATCATGGGACTTTGGAAGGCATCCAAATAGGCTAAAAATTCAGGATTTTTGGACTTTGGAAGGCATCCAAATAGTCCTAAAATGGGAGGTAATATTACGAGGCAAAACCCCATTGATGTACACAAGAAAGACACATGTTCTTATAATGTAAACTCTTTCTTGGAACTTACTGATATAAGAAACATGTTTTCTCTTTCTTTATTTATGTGTATATACAAAGCACTTGTCAAGCCTCTATATAGACTTATAAAATGTTAGTAATTTTAGTGGCGTAAGTGTAATAAAATAAGCTAAGAAATATTAACAATTAAGAAAGTAGAATTAAGGGNCATTTTTTTTTTTTATTATTGTTTCTACTAGGCAATTGCAATGGTGTTAATAATATTCTCTCTCTTATAAATCATGGGACTTTGGAAGGCATCCAAATAGGCTAAAAATTCAGGATTCTTTGGAAGGCATCCAAATAGTCCTAAAATGGGAGCTAATATTATGAGGCAAAACCCCATTGATGTACACAGGAAAGACGCATGTTCTTATAATGTAAACTCTTTCTTGGAACTTACTGATATAAGAAACATGTTTTCTCTTTCTTTATTTATGTGTATATTCAAAGCATTTGTCAAGCCTCTATATAGACTTACAAAATGACTTAAATGTTAGTAATTTTAGTGGCGTAAGTGTAATAAAATAAACTAAGAAATATTAAAAATTAAAAAAGTAGAATTAAGGGGGTTGTAAAAAACATTCTTTTCCTTCTCAAGTTTGTGTGTATTAGAATGAAGGAAAGGAGAGCTATTTATAGCCATCGTTGGCCTCCACTTGCACCACCTCAATTTCTCAAGTTGTCGCTCTCTTAACAATCGGTGATGACTATAAATTCCTTCCCTCCCCTTATTTTATATACTAGTAATACAACACATATATTATTTTTATATAATATTTCTCATACAACATTATATGGCAAGATATAATCGGCTAATTTAAAATTAAAATTTAATTTTTACCCAATCATATCTTGTCACATAATATTGTATGAAAAATATTATATGAGAATGATGTTTGTATATTATTATTCTTTTGTATACACACAAACCTCAATTACAGTCCCTTAATTCTACTTTCTTAATTTTCAACCCTTATTAATTTATTTTATTGTACTTACACCACTTAAATTTAGAGATGGGCACGGGCTGGGCCGAGGCTGGGGACCCTTTTCTTCGGCCTGGCTTGAAAGCCCAAGAGAATTCTTCGATCTCAGCCCGTAGCCCGTTCGAGGAATTCGGGGAATTCTTGAATAAAGCCTATTCCCCAGACATCTGAATTCACTGTTTGAGGGTTTTGTGTCCTTATTACTATTTTTTCCAAATTATAATATACCACTCAAAAAGAAATTAAATCTATAATGATTTATTGATTTATTATAATCAATCAAAACACTAAATGATATATTACACATATATAACATTTATATTATGTATTAACATATTATTATAGAAAATAACATATTATGTATAATATATAACATATATATGTTATATACATTATATTTATATATCATATATAATGTATAATGTGCAATGTATAATATATAATAGATAATGTCAAATATATACCATATATAATATATAATGTCGAACGTATAACTTTTGTTTCATAGTATTAATATATTATGTATAATGTATAATTAATATATTTATATATATTACAAATATTTATAATGATTTATTATATTTAATCTAATTTTTTTTATTACGTATTTGTATATGGTTTCATTTGTTNATTGTTTCTACCAGGCAATTGCAATGGTGTTGATAATGTTCTCTCTTATAAATCATGGGACTTTGGAAGGCATCCAAATAGGCTAAAAATTCAGGATTTTTGGACTTTGGAAGGCATCCAAATAGTCCTAAAATGGGAGGTAATATTACGAGGCAAAACCCCATTGATGTACACAAGAAAGACACATGTTCTTATAATGTAAACTCTTTCTTGGAACTTACTGATATAAGAAACATGTTTTCTCTTTCTTTATTTATGTGTATATACAAAGCACTTGTCAAGCCTCTATATAGACTTATAAAATGTTAGTAATTTTAGTGGCGTAAGTGTAATAAAATAAGCTAAGAAATATTAACAATTAAGAAAGTAGAATTAAGGGGGTTGTAATAAGTATTCTTTGCCTTCTCAAGTTTTTGTGTGTATTAGAATGAAGGAAAGGAGAGCTATTTATAGCCATCAATCGTTGGCCTCCACTTGCACCACCTCAATTTCTCAAGTTGTCGCTCACTTAACAATTGGTGGAGGTCCACTAGGGCTGGTTAACGAACTGAGTCGCTCGCGAGCCGGCTCGGCTCGGTTCAAGTCCGGCTCGTTAACTGCTTGGTTCGTCTTATTACGAGTCGGCTTGACTCGGCTCGTGAGACAAAACGAGTCGAGTTCGAGCCATACAAGGCTCGGCTCGTTAGGCTCGCGAGTCGCGCCTGGCTCGAAATAGCGGGAGGTTTTTTGAGAATTTGTAAACTATTGGGATTTAATTGAAACTAACGCAAACAAGTTTTAAAAAATAACAAAATAGCCCCCTTTATTAAAATCCCCAAATCGCGAAAAATCTTCACCAGTAGAACCGTGGCCGTAAAATTTGAATCAAATCCTCCCAAAGTAATGATTTCGGCCAGAACTTCTTCATCTTCGTCAGCTTCGCGGGATCTTTGTGGGATATAGTTCATCTTCGTCAGACCGTCGGCAGCCGTTGGATCTTCGTCATCGTCGTCAGCCATTGGATCTTCGTCATCGTCGTCTGATCGTCGTTGGATCTTCGTCAGAACTTCGTCTTCTTCGTACGAGGTTCATCAGATCTGAATCGTCTTGGTAAGAGTTGAAGTTTCTTCGTCGGTTCGTCATCATCTTTGTCGGATTTTCGTTGGACTTTAATTAGTGAGTAGGGGGTTTCTTCGTCGGATCTTCATCATCTGCTATTGTCGTTTGTTTGGGGTTTCTTCAATTTTTGTCAGATTTTAACTTGTTTTTTCATGAATTGTTTGTTTGTAACAGGGGGCTTTTTCTGGTGAAAGAATTCAGGAAGAGCAGACTGAAATTGCTTTACTGGTGGTTCACTGTGGTGGTGTTGCTGTGAAACCCACACAAGGTTAATGTTTGTGTACTATCTGTGAAGAGTAGTGCCGTGTATTGTTTATTTAAATTGCTTTACTGAAATTGAAATTGTTTGTGAATTGTGATTGTGGTTGTGCTGGGACAAAATTTCAATTGCAAAGGAGTTTGTTAATGGTTGACAGGTTGTTATTTATAAATTTGTTTGTGGGAATTTGGTTATGGGGTTTTGCATTTGGTGGTGGGGATTGGCCGACTGGTAGTTTATAAATATGTTTGTGGCTTGTTGTGGGAATGTGGTCCTGCATCTGGTGGTGGGGACTGGGGGATTTAATATTTGTTTCTGGCTTGTGGGAATGTGTTGGTGTGGGGTAAAGAAAGAAGAACCAGTGCCTTAAAGATGACATTTATGAAGGCATAGAAAATAGAATATTACACAACATGATGTAAACTTTGTTTCTTTCATTTGAACTCTCTGAAATGTTCCTTAGTCCAATTAATTATAGAGGGTTATTAACAGATTAACAGTGCTAACGCTCACATGGTTACCTCATTCTTTATAGCTCTAAAAAGAAAGTATACTCTTCTGTCCATGGAGAAAATCTGAGTCAAAGAATAAAAATTAAGTGTCTGATAAGCATGTGCAATGAGTTGTCCCTAGTGCATTTTAGCCACAAGTTTATTTATAACAATGGGTGTTGGGCCAAAGAAAACATTAATAGAATAGCTTTGTCATAATCAACAAACACATGTATACTTAATAATCTTTCATTTTGATTGTACAGAAGGAATATGCAAGCCCTTTCTTGATTAATGGAAATGACAGGAAGAAATACCAACTTTTTTGTATTATACTTGAAATGCTTGACCATATTATTTGTTACCTTGTCTTATATTTTAACCTTTTCAATACCCACCAGCTTGTCAAAGCTTTATAAAATAACATGAACCCAATATGCATGGCAGCACATAGCCCAAGACCAAGGCCCCATACTAAAGTCTGATTCTCATCTCTCATGCATGCACACAAGTGCTGTGCAGCCACACTGCTCAATCAAATTCAAACTTTATTTTGTTAAAGCCAAAAGGGATAGCAAATTTTCTCCACTGATTGGAAAAAGAAGTGAATGGATTGGACATTAAAGAAAATAAAGCATTATGTACCCTTCCAATTTATTTACATAAATGAAGTTTATATATGCAACTTTAATGAATTCAAAATAGAACATGTGAGTTGCAAATGAAAGTGAGACAAATTTCAAAATATAACATGTGAAACTTAATCAAACATGATACAAAACCAATATCTCTAATTAAAGAATAAATGAATGTTGGGATGTATTGGTGACAATTAATATTGGTGTGCAATGTATAATGTATTGGTTTGATGTGTGTGCAATGTAATAGTTTGACATTATTTCATATTGGTTTTGCATTAAATTGTTGATTTTTTTTTTTTTTCGATTTATAGGTTTGTAAATGGAGGGTAATTCCTTAAGTACCCCTGCAATACACAATACAATTACCGATACACCTGGTATTAGTAGCCCGGATAATGGTGATGAAAATCAAAATCCAATTCAGAAGCAAAAAAGAGCAAAGACTTCAGTGGCATGGTCGGAGTTCAAGGAAGTGGTATATGAAAGTGAGAAGACCAAATTGAAGACTTTGTTGAAGACTGTGACAAAAATCAGTTTGACTACAAACTTATGGAATTCAGGGAATCAAAAGATGGAGTATATGGTGTTGACCGGGCATTGGATAGATAGTACTTGGAGGCTTAATAGACGTATCCTCAACTTTGTTCGTCTACCTCCTCCCCGGACTGGTATTGCGATTGCGGATGACATTTTCAAGTACGTAATGGGATGGGGAATTGAAAATAAGGTATATACTATTTCTGTGGATAATACTTTAAGTAATGATGTTGCGATTAAGGTTTTGAAGGAAAATTTTGAAGTTTCTGGGAAACTCCTTTGTGGAGGTAAACTGTTTTATGTGAGATGCTGCGCACACATCTTGAATCTGATTGTTCAAGATGGACTTTATCAAATTGGGCACATCATTGACAACATCTATGAGAGTGTGTTGTATATCAACAGTTCAGAAAGCAGACTCAAGGTATTTTCTGAGATTGTTCACAACTTAAATTGCCGTATCGGAAACTTATTCTTCATTGTAAAACAAGATGGAATTCTACCTATGAAATGTTGGCAACGGCAATTAAGTTCAAAAAGGTTTTTCCAAGAGTGAAAGAGAGGGATATCAATTATCATAATAATCCGAGTGACGAGGATTGGGAGAAAGTGGAGAAAGTTTGTGAAGTTTTGAAGGTATTCAGTGGTTCAACCAAACTCATTTCAGGAAGTGATTATCCGACATCTAATTTATTCTTGAACGAGGTGTGTGTAGTGAAATGTATGTTGGATAGTAAAAGTGAATCTGAAGATGATTTTATTAGAGTAATGGTTAGGAAAATGAAGCATAAGTTTGATAAATATTGGGGGGAATGTAATGTGTTGATGTCTGTGGCTGCTGTATTGGATCCTCGGTTGAAAATGAGGGTTATTCAGTGGGCATTCCCTAAGATGTATTCTGAGGCAAAAGGTCGGGCAAATATGGTGACAGTCTGGGATGTATTGTATGAGTTATATGGGGAGTATGTTCAAGCTAACCAAGGTGTGACTATCGCCCATGCTTTTACATCACAAGGGGATGGACATGGAGCCATTGATGAGGTGGCTGCGGTTGAGGGAGCCAAGGCCTGGGATGATTTTAGCACTTTTTTGGACGTGGTTGAAACTGTTAAGTCTAGTTAGTCTGAGTTGGACTGTTATTTGGGAGAGGGATGCCATAAGTGTGTGGGGGATCATGACTCATTCGAATAACTTATAGTGGTGGAAGGCAAATTCAACCAAGTTTCCTGTATTGTCTAGGATGGCTCGAGAGATACTAGCCATCCCGATCATTACGGTTGCTTCAGAGTCTGCATTCAGTGCTGGGAGTAGGGTTATTGATAGTTACCGAGCTTCTTTGTCACCAGCTACGGTGGAGATGTTGTTATGTGGATGTGACTGGTGTCGCACTTTGAATGGAGTGAATAGAGGGTGCAAAGTAAGTTCCATTGCTTACATGTTTTGTTTAATTCTATATTTAAAATAACTTTATTCCAACCTATAAATTATTTTTATCTATTTTTCATCTTAGAAAGAGGAGGATGAGAATCACTTGGAGATTCAGCTTCCTGTTCTATCAGGTGATGGGAGTCAGCAGATTGATTGATTAACTAGTGAGTTATTGACTGTGGCAGTAGGATTCTACAGGTCAATATTTATTACTTTTGTGTTGAGGTTTGCATTTTCATCTTTATGGTTTATATAAAATGACAATTATACTTAATATGTTTCACATTAATTTGTTTGTAGGAGGAGTGGGGCTACAATAGACATACATCTAATTATCATTTGCTATTATATATATTTTTTGATGGATGGGGATGTCACTTGATGTATAGTTATGCTAATCCCATATTTTGTTTTTTGTGAAAACTTTATTAAGTCAAGTGAACCAAACAAAAATTATTTAGTTCACTTAACTTAATTTGTGGTACATACAATATGTTAAATGATAAATTGTTAATAGCAGTAGCATTTTATTTAATATTGATTTTAAGTAGGTTTAACTGTTGGGTGATGTATGAGGACCTGAGAAAACATGCAGACAATCAGATTAAGACCTACGTGTTGTCCAGCAAATTAAAAAACAATAAATGAAAAGTGAAAAATAAATGAATCAGTTTGACAAAAATAAATCAGTTTGACAAAATAAATGAAAAGTGGAAAATTTAACAAAATACATCAGACATTAGTGATTATTCCTCTGCCCAGCAAATTAATGAAAAGTTAAATTATAATTTTTCAATTTTAAGCCCTTCTGAATTCGCCTGCCATATTTAAATATTTTAAACTAGATTTTCTCATTTTCAATTTTGAACATTGATTCAGCTTCAAAGCGAAATTATGATTTGCATTTATTTGAATTTAAGACAATCAGACATTCAGACGGCAGCCCAACGAATTTTTGTAAAAAAAAATTGAATTAAAAACAAAAAAAAATAAAATTATTTGGAGATGGCTCGCTAGCCGGCTCGAAATATGCTAAATCTATTACTAAGCCGAGCCGAGCCATATAATTCGGCTCAGCTCGGTCTTGGCTCGTTTAATCTTCTTCTTTCACGAGTCGAGCTCGTTAAGCCGAAAACTCGGCTCGGCTCGGCTCTATAACACCCCTAAGGTCCACTATTTATAACACTCCCGTTTAAATATCTATCATTTATAGATAAGTGAGAGTAACTCGATAAGTTGAGGCGGTGTAAGTGAGGCTTTGCAACTGTGCAAGTGGGGCGGATGACTATAAATTCCTTCCCTCCCCTTTATTTTATATACACACAAACTTAATTACAGCCCCTTAATTCTACTTTCTTAATTTTCAACCCTTATTAATTTATTTTATTGTACTTACACTACTTAAATTTAGGGATGGGCATGGGCCCGACTGGGGCTGGGGACCACTGTCTCCGGCCCTGACCCGAAAACCCAAGGGGATTCCCCGATCTCGGCCCGTAACCCGTTCGAGGAATTCGGGGAAACCTCGAATAAAGCCCGTTCCGTTTGAGGGTTTTGTATTTTCATTACCATTTCCTCCAAATTATAATATATCATCAAAAAAGAAATTAAATCTATAATAATTTATTATAATCAATCAAAACACCAAATGATATATTATACATATATATTATGTATTAACATATTATTATAGATAATAATATATTATGTATAATATATAACATATATATGTTATATATATTATACTTATATATCATATATAATATATAATATATAATGTTAAATGTATATCATATATAATATATAATATACAATGTATAATGTATAACTTTTGTTTCATAACATTAACATATTATATATAATGTATAATTAATATATTTATACATATTACAAATATTTATAATGATTTATTATATTTAATCTAGTTTATTTATTACCTATTTGTATATGATTTCATAAAATACTTATACAATTATAATTTGTTATTGTATAATATATGATTGATTTTCAAATATTAAAATTAATATAAGTATATATAATGATTGTTTTTTAAATATATAATATATATATATATATATATATATATATAGGGTCGGGCTGGGTCGGGCGAAGCAAGACCTATCCTAACTTTGGCTTGTCCCTAAATTTTAAGACTAATTTTGGGTCTGATCCCAGGCTAAATCCCGAATGATTCAGGGAAATTTCGTCCTGTTTAAGTTGGGTTAAGATGGGTCTCACAGGGCCGGGTTTTATGCCCGTCCCTACTTAAATTACTATCATTAAAAGACTACATTGAATATTTATAATTAAACATTTATCTTCTCCTTATCTGAACTGGAAGCCCACCTCTCATCTTGAGCACCAATGATAAGGTGTAAGGCGGGTCCATGATCCTCCCTGCAGTCCCACCACCATCAATGGCTAAAATCTCAAACTCATTCATCACCGCCGCCGCAATCGACTTCATCTGCACATAAGCCATCTCCTTCCCCAAACACATCCTGGGCCCACAATGAAACACAGGAAATCTAAACTGATCCGACGGCTGAAAAACCCCATCACCGTTCAACCATCTCTCAGGCTTAAACTCCATATAATTACGGCCCCACGCTTTCTCCATCCTCCCCACCGCATATGCTGAATAATCAGCAAACCACCCCTTCCTCACGTGGGTTCCGTCCGGCAAAACATCATCATCCACCGTTAATCTTGAATTGATCGGTACGGGAGGGAACAGCCGCATGGACTCTGATAGAGCTGCATGCAAATAATGCAGCTTCTTCAATTCATCGTAACTGAAGATTCTTGGCCGGAGCTCCGATGCCGGCAATGAAGATAATTCCTCTCTTATCAAAGACCCACATCGAGGATGGCCGGCGATCAGCCAGAAGAACCAAGTCAACGCCGTCGACGTTGAATCTTTCCCGGCGAGAATGAAACTTATAACTATATCTCTTAAAAACTTTCTCTTTTCTTCTTCTTCCATCTCCATGCTTGAACTTGCCGCCATGAATCTTGATAACAAATCAAAATTTGTTGTTTCTTCTTCTTCCTTCTCTTTCGACTTAAGTATTTCCATTGCGTAGTCGTTTATAACTTTAATAGCTTCCTTAAATCTCTTCTCGGATCCAATGTTGAGAAATCTTTTAGTCTTCCAAATTGCAGGAACTGGATTCGTGAATCTTGAAGAACAAATTTCCACAGCGTCATCAAAAGCTTTCATAAATTCCGATGAGTTCTGCTTGCACGAAGAGTCAACACCGAACGCGACGTTGCATATGTTTTTGAAGGTGAAATCTTGCAGCAATTCTTGAAGATCAAACACGATATTCCGATCAGAGGCGTCGGAGAGGAACGGGATGAAGCTTTTAGAGATTTCCGATTTCACCACTTCAGAAATGAAGTGTTTGAGTGACCTGGTGTTGAATTCGTGGCTGGCAATCTTACGCTGCAGGGTCCAGAGGTGACCGTCAACGCTGAAGATGCCGTGGCGGAGGAGTTCGTGGAGGACGCTGTGGTAGCGGGAGCCTTTGATGTAGTTGGAGAAGTTGGAGAGGAGGAGATGCTGGATGTTGATGGGGTCAGCAGTGCAGATGCCATGGGAGAGGTTGAGGAAGGAGTTGACTTGGATAGTGGAAGATGTGGTTTGGGAGAGGAGTTCAGTGACCCAGTCGTGGAAGCGGCGGTGGTTGCGGAGGAAGCCGGGGAGGTTTCCGATGATGGGGTAGGATTGTGGAGATGGGGTTTTGGTTTTAGGATGACAAGGAGAGTATGAGAAGTAGAAGTAGAAGTAGAAGAAGAAGAACAGAGAGATGAAGAAGGTGAAGCAAGGGAGGAATGTAAGGGAAGATGAGTCGAGTTCAAACATGATAAAGCCTGTTTTGTTTGGTTTAGTTTTGTCTTGTCTTGTTGAAGATGAAAATTGTAAGGATTTTGTTGTTGTTTTCTTGCAGAATTGGAATGGATTTCTTGCTTCAATTTTCAAGTAAAAAAGATATTATATTTATGATACATACGCAATGTCTTTCGTGGATCTAATACTTTAATATATTCCAATATATTTTTTCATATATTCTAAAATTCTTTAGAATCACTTCATAAATCTGGGTTTGAAACTAGGTTTTCATCATTGAACCCTACAATCTTTGAGGAGTAGATAATAATAATCATTTACCAAGTAAGTACGTGTGAATGGTCTTAGGTTCGAATCCATCCGGCTTTTAAGATTTAAATAGGTGATCATGACGATGAAAATGTTGAATGTTGTGTTAATCATCTACATGGATTAATCGAGATACATATAAGTTGGTTCAAAAACCTTGTTTAAAAAAAAATAAAAAAAATTAAGGGTGCGTTTGTTTTGTTATTTTGGATAGGATTTTAGAAATAATATTGGGTAGTTGAATAGGATGAATATTACGAGGTAAAATTTAAAAATTAACGAAAAAACCCCTTAGGTTTGCTAATTTAACTAAATACCCTAATATATAAAATTTTTGTAAAATAACAAAAACACTCCTACCCACCGACTCCGGCCACCACCATCGCAATCTAGTCAAAAAATAGCGTTACAACCCAGACGGTCGGATCTGGCCCATTGTGCATCGATATGACATTTTCTGGATCTGGTGGATTTGGTCAGAAAATGTCAGATTTGGCCATCAGTGACGGCCAAAGATATGGCCGTCGTTGTCGGTCAACGATGGCCATTTCTTTGGTCGTCAAATCTAGCATTTTCGGGCCTGATCCAATATGGATTTGACCAGAAAAAGCCAGATTGGCGAATTACTGGCTAGTTTCGATCGTTTTTACATCGCTGTGACAGATTCCGGCAACCACCGTCAGTGGTTGTCGGAATCTGGCAACTATGGATGGATGGGGGTGTTTTTGTTAATTTTTAAACTTTTTTTTCTAAGGGTGTTTAATTAAATTAATAAATTTAAAGAGTTTAAAAATAATTAAAAAACTAGAATAGTATTTTTCAAATAATAAAACAAATAAGTATTTTGGGAATATGATTAGAAATATGGATAGGAATAATAAAATAAACGCACTCTAAGATTCTCATTGTTAAACCCTACAAGACTGACTATTCGACTAACCCTTCATGAGTTAATATAAGGTCACTAGAGGATCCATTATTGCATAGAAAGAAAAATCTAATTTTGTACTAATTTAATTGGTTTTTTTTTTTTTTTTTTTTTCTAAAGAAAAAGTATATCTCATTTCTTTTCCATGTTGTTCAAAGTATATTAATTATTAATTTATAATAATTAAACACATATATAGGTTAGTATTCCTTTAATAAAAAGAGTTATTTTTTTACTTTTTTTTTTTTTTGTTGACGGGGTGTTCGGGTCAGGGTAAATTCCCTCCATGAGGACTCTTCTTAGCAATTCAAGTGAATCGAATTCATGACTTTTTAAATAATATACACAAGAGTCCTAATTGAGCGCGTGGTGGTTGAAAAAAGAAAAAAAAAATTATGAAGTGAGTTGATAATTCATAATATGACAAATACTCTTGTTTCTCACACAATCCTTGATTCATGTTTCTAATGGAGAAGAAGAATATGAATTTTGGACTTTGAGTTTCATGGGACAATAACTTCACCACTGTAAAACTTCAAGTCTTAGCAGAGAAATGAGAACCGCAGACAAAAGTCCTCTAGTCTTTGGAAGACCAGACAGCTTCAAAGAAAGAGACTGAAAGACTTTCATTGAAATAGCCTGCAATTTTTCTGAGTAACAAAATAATCATTTTGGATGTTTGTTTTGTAACTTATACTTAGTTTTTCTGATCCTTGTGGCCATGCCCTTTCTTCTTTGTCTGCTTCTCTCTTTGTTTACTCAATCTGTTTCTTTCATAACCTTCTATGCTTTCATTGGCCGGCCATTTGAGTTGTTTTCATTCTCCATCTTACTTTATAATTTTAGCATTTTAACCCCCAGGACGGCTATTAATTCCTCTCTTCTTCAGCTACCCACCTGCAGAACAACCAGCCTTGAAGGTTTGATAAGATTCTCACATTGTTCTACAAGCAAAGCCATTAAACATTATACAAAATGGTTGGTATTTTTCTAACTTTTATTTTAGTACTTATTGTTCTTCCTCGGTTTCCTTGTTTATCTCCTGATGAAAGCAGCTATGGCCTCTCTTACAATGGTGGGAAAATCATGACAGAACCAGTCACAGTTTCTCTTCTATGGTTTGGAACTAGATGGGAAGAATCAGGTAGAGAAACTATCCGGAACGCGATCGCGTCTTTAGTTCCATCTAGGTATAATGCTGGGGATTCTGAGGTGCCTACCTTGGGAGATTGGTGGGATATTGTGAGACAATATAGAGACGATTCAAATGCTCAAGTGACTGATAGAGTAAGTGTTGGTGCTGAGTGTTTCTACTCAGGTTCTGAACTCAATATGACCCTAGACCGGGTGGTGGAGATCGGAAAATCAGTGTTTAACAAGACCGCTGTTGAAGGATCTGGTGGGAGATTGAATTGTACTCGAGTTTTCGATGTGGATGAGAACCGTATTTATCACATTCTGTTTTCTTATTCCGTGATGTTCTTTGAAGGGCAGCAGCAGAGGGAGTTTACGGACTGGTGTAGTGGGAAGTTTCAGCTTCCAGGGATGATGGTGAGCATGACATGGGCAAGAGAACCTCAAATTGCTGCTGATCAATGTTCAATATCGTTTCGCAGGAGTTCTTATCTAGGCCCTCCGAATGGTGATGAGAAGATTGACAGCTTGGTGGGTCATATGGTGGCAAAAATAGCAGAAGAGGTAACTGATCAAGATGGAAGAGGATGGATTAGTAATGATGGAACTGGACTGACAATCAGTAGTTCTTGTATTTCTCCATTCGGAGAAGCGAAAACTCTTCCTCCTCCTCTATATGTCGATGAAGAAAGGAGATTTAGCTTTAATGCAGTTGGATTGAATGGCTATAGATACATTGTGCCATATATTTGGGATCAGAATATCAGAAACTGTGCCTTGAAACCCTCAGGTATTGCTTCTACGAAATTCTTGTAAAAGGCCTAATTTATGTTGAGTTCTACATCTCTGAAATCAAATTAAGTTTGTTGTATGTAGAAACCTGTAGCAGAAATGCAGTTGTTCTTGAGCAGGCGAGCGGGCGCTTGAAGGGAGGCATTGTGGTGAACCACACTGATGGTTTGCAGCCATATCCTCCAAACCAAAAATGTCAGTGGGAAATCAACTTCCCAGATGCAAAATTCATAAGTTTTACTGTCAACTTCCTTGCAATTTCAGCAGACAGCGATGACCGCCTCAGAATTTGCCAGCCAAATTCAAATCCTGTGCAATGCTCAACCATTCAATCCAATAATGGAGATTTTGATAAGAACTTCAAGGTCTTTGGCTCAAAAGCTTCCATTGAATTTTCAAGTGGGGATCATGTTGCCTTTAAATCAAGAGGATGGGAGCTGAGCTATACTGCAGGTAATCAAAATCTGAGCTAATCTTTCTAATTCAAACTAATTAGTCCAAAATAAAGCTATTGAAATTATACAAAAAAACTTACAGGAATGTGCAATGGGAAGAAAGATGTTTATGATCCTGATGGAACAATCGGCAACGCTTCATCTTCCTATGTAAAAGGTCTTACTTGTCAATGGATTCTCCATGGAAAACCAGGGACTCCTGTAAACTTAAGTTTCATTCACATTAACATCACAAAGAATTTGGACTTTCTTGCAATAAACAATGGCACAAAGCAGCAGATAGCCAACTTCTCAGGTTCTTATTCCGAGTCTGATCTCCCGAAAATGAACCTAACCGGTGAGGTTACGATAATTTTTGCAACTCAAACAGATGAAGGACAAGGCTGGTCAGCTAAATTTCACATCTCTTCTCCTGTTGACAGAAACAAAAAGGTTTGGCTTGTCATTGTCATTGTTGTTTTGGCAATTATATCAGCCATTGTTTCGCTTTCTTTCGTGGCATTAGCCATACTCAAAAGAAGAAGAATGCATAAAACCTCCTTGGACTCAGTTGAAGAGCTAATGCAAGTAAGAGTAGATATAAATAGAGAACTCAACAGAATTGGAGAGGGACCTTCTGCAATAGTCTACAGAGCAGTTTCAACAAATGGAAATACAGTAGCGGTTAAATCTCGAAGAGATTCATCTTCGGATACAGGATTAGAAGAAGAGATTTTGCTCAAATCCTCATTTCATCCCCACATTGTTTCCTTACTAGGATATGCTCAAGCTCAAAATGGACTTCGACAACGATGCTTAGTCTTCGAGTTTATGCAAAGGGGAAGCTTGAGATGGAACCTGAGGGAAGATGGAGGCAACTTGGATTGGGAAAAGAGGTTAGAAATAGTATTACAAATATGCTCAGCAATTCAAATGCTGCACATGTACTCGAAGCCTCCAATATTTCATGGAAACATAACATCAGAAAACATTCTTTTGGATGAATTCTACAATGCAAAGTTATCTGGTTTTGGAGCTGCAAGTTACTTTAGCAGTACTCGAAATCCTGAAGAAACATCAGAAATGGCTGAGGATATATGTAGTTTTGGTCTGCTTCTGGTGGAGCTTTTACAAGGGGAGCCTGTAGTGAATAGGCAAGGTTGCAGAAACTTCAGCAGGCTTGAGCAGATTAATGATCTGGTGGGTGGTGGCATCGAGTTTCTCGACCAACGCCTGGCGATTCCTGAAGAAAATTGGAAGGTGATGGGGTTGGCAAAGCTGGGAGAAATAGCAAAATGGTGCATTGGAAGTTGCTGCAGAATTGAAGGGAATGAAAATGATGCTAAGATTGGTGATGTTTTGTCAGGTTTGAGGCAGGTTAAGCAACTGTTTTGTTCTGTTTGAATGTAGTTTCAGAGGAAGAAATAGAATAACTTGATCATGTAAAGCAATATGACACACCCAGGCTCCGTTTGGTTCACTTTTTTACACTTTTTAGAAAAAAATTTGGAAAAAAAGTTAAAAAAAAGTTGAATTGGGCGAATATTACGACGTAGGATTTGAAAATAAATAAAAATATCCTCTATATTTGTTTATTTACTAAAAACTCCTATAATAAAACATTAAAAGTTAACAAAAACACCCTCAACCCATCCATTAAATATGAACAACTGGCCACCACCGCCGGAGGGTGGTCGGAGTCGTCGTATCTGCGTATGACCGGCTGGATCCTGCCGATGACCGGCTGGATCCTGCCGGTCTTGCGCCGATATGACCTTTTCCGGCCAGATCCATGGTGGATCTGGTCGGCAAAGGTGAGATCTACGGCTAGATCTGGCCATTGACGGCCAGATCTGGCCGTATTTGCTCGTCAACGATAGCCAAAGATACGGCCGTCGTTAATGGTCAATGACGGCCAAAGATACGACTGTCGTTGATGGTCAACGACGACCATGTGTTGGCCGTCGTTGATGACTAATTACGGCCAAAGACGGCCAGATCTTTGGCCTTAGATCTGGCCTTTTTCGGCCAGATCCATCGTGGATCTGGCTGAAAAATGCTAGATCAACTAGATTCAGCCGGTAGTGCGCCATTATATCAGATTCTGGCCATTTTCCGGCTGTGGTGGCCGGAATTTGGTAAATATGGGTTGTTGGGGGTTTTTTTTTTGCAATTTTTAAAAAAATATTTAGGGGTATTTAATTAAATTAACAAATTTAGGGGGTTTAAAGTTAAATAATATTGTGAGTTTTTGCAATTTTATTGTTTAACTTTATTAGGAATACTAATAATAGTATTATCAAATGTGAGCCAAACGAAGCCCAAGAGTTCCTCCTAATAAAAATATTTATATAAGAATTTATCGTATTATGAGTTAATGGATACTGATCCAAAGATTCTGTAACCTGTATATCGTGTTATCGTTATCTTTCAACTAATCGGTCAATCACGTTATTCTTATCTTTCAACCAACCCCTTCGATTCTACTTCTAAAACTCTTGGTTTTCATTTTATCATTTATTTTAACATTTAAAACTTAAGGTTTCATTAATACCGAAAGAGATTTTTGTTTACTTTGATTTTTTACCATCTAACAATTATGAAAGAGGAATTAAAAGTTAACTAAAAATCAGGTTTTGCTGAAATCAAATAACATCTTACTAAATTTTAAAATAAATTAAATACATTGAATTAGAAGGAAATTAAAAAATTCGAAATACATTAAGTACATTGAATTAGAATAAGAAAAGAAATGAACAAAAGAATTTGAAAAAATAAAACAAACTAAAAAAATTCCGTTGCCGGGAATCGAACCCGGGTCTCCTGGGTGAAAGCCAGATATCCTAACCGCTGGACGACAACGGAATTGTTGAAATTATAATACTAATTATATTAATTATAATAAAAAGTCAAGCTACAATAAATCGTGTGATTAAAATTGTCTCTCTTTTAACATTTTTATCACAACTGACAGCTGGAGAAAACAAATAAACTGCACAATAATTGAATCAAATTCTAATCACTTGTATACTTCAGAAGATTGGTGTATCATTTGCAGCTTTACAAAAAACATTAAAATTTCTTAACAAATTACTTGGTAAGATTTTTCGGGAAAATGAAGGAAACCATTCAAGAATAAGTCCATTTTCTTCAGGATTCCTGGTTTTCAGACAGAATCTCCCTTTGTTGAGCCTTTCCTTTAATGGTTTGTTTGGGGGAAGCATTCGCTTGACTGTACTTTAGTGGGCGTTATTTCCAGCTTTAATCAATCAAATAGGGGGATGACTCGAACATACTATATCATACTCTCATATATAATGCTTTCCTTATTGAACTTCAATTTAGGTGTTGTCATTGACATGAGTTCAGGTGCTCATTTTCTGCCCCTCGTGCAGACTAAACTTTAGAAGGTGGATCAAATGCTCCGAGAGTTTTTGCATTCCTGTATTTGCCCCTATTTAAATCGTGTCCTTAGAATTCTTGACACAACTTTCATGTCAACCATCTTCCTCAAGGAGCCTTTTCCTATGTGAAAACCAAATTGTGCTGATAGATAGTGGATTTTCTAGCTGACTTCTAAGAGGGCTGCAACTCATCTTTCTCCATGTGACTTGCCAAAATCATAAGACATTCATATACCATCTCTGCTTGTGGATGTGTCTTATCTTCTACATAGAAAGGCTGAATCCTTTTCCCAATCTCAATCCAGCTACAACCAGGGTTCTTCTTCAAACCAAGCTCTTTCATTTTTAATCTTACCTTTCGTACTTCATCCCATTTCTTGACAGATGCATACATGTTTGACAAGACAATATAAGTTGATGGATCATCAGAGTCCTTCTCAATGAGCAATTTTGCAATCTTCTCTCCCAGTTCTGTATCTTGATGCAGATGGCATGCAGAAAATAGTGTGCTTAACAGCCCGACATCCTCCTTAATCTCTGATGTGCTTTTTAGAATTTGGTAAGCTTCATGTAATCTTCCAGCACGTCCAAGAAGATCAATCAAGCAGGAGTAGTGTTCAATTCTAGGCTTAATATTATACTCAGAGGTCATTTGACTGAAATAATTACGACCTTCATCAACCAATCCAGCATGGCTACAAGCTGATAAAACTGCAAGGAAAGTGACACTGTCTGGTATTGCGTTGGATTTCTGCATTTCATCAAAAAGCTTCAAAGCCTCTAAAACTTGACCATGAGACCCATAAGCAGTGATCATAGAAGTCCATGACACAAGATCTGTCTCAGGTAATTGATTAAATACACTAATCGCTTCATCCACAGCACCACATTTAGCATACATGTCGAGGAGAGCCCCCATGACTATTTCATTGGCTTCTAGCCCACTCTCAGCAATATACTTGTGGATCTCTTTTCCCTTTTCTAAGGCTGCTAACTGTGAACAAGCTGGTAAAACACTAGTGAATGTTATAGCATCTGGTTTTACACCACTTTCTTTCATGTCACCATAGAGAGCAAGGGCTTTAAAATAATCACCAACAGTCACATAGCCTGAGATCATAACATTCCAAGAAACGACATTTGTCTTGCTCATCTTATCAAAGACATTTTCAGCTGAGCTAACACTTCCACATTTAAAATAAAGATCGATAAGTGAGCTATTTATAAAAATATCAGCATGTATTCTGTTTCTTATTAAATATCCGTGTACGAATTTACCATGTTCAAGTTTGGCTGATCTAGAACAAGACATTAATATGCAACTCATTGTAGTAAGAGTTGGCTTAACTCCTTCCTCATTCATCCTCCTAAAAAGCTCAATGCATGATTTGCTATCACCTTTTGAACTGTATCCTGCTATCAACGCATTCCAAGCAACAACATTTTTCACTGGCATTTGATCAAAAACCTCTCTAGCCATCTCCAAACAACCACATTTGCCATACATGTCCACAAGAGCAGAACCAACATAACTATCAAAAGCAATCCCTTCTTTCACAAATTTCTCATGAATCTCCTTCCCTCTTTCCAAATCAAAAAGCCTTGCACACGATGAAATAACCATCGTTAACGTCACCGAATTGGGCTCAAACCCAGAATCCCTCATCTTCCCAAACAACTCCAACGCTTTCTCAGCTTGACCCTCTTGGTAATAACAAGAAATAACAGTATTCCAACTTGCAACATCTCTCACAGACATTTCATCAAACACTTTAATCCCATAGTCAAACCTTTTGCACTTTGCGTACATCCCCACTAGAGAGCTAGCGACAACAACATCCAATACAAACCCAGTTTTTATCAATTGGGTATGAATCAATTGGCCATAACCAACTCTCCCTAATCCACCACAAGCCTTTAACACACTTGGGTATGTGTAACTATCGGGTTTCAAAATTGGATGCAGCACTAACCTATCAAAAACCTCAAGGGCTTCAATGAACATATAGTTTTTAGCATAAGCAGCCATGAGGCCATTCCATAAAGAAAGGTCTAACGAATATTCTAAGGTTTTGAAAATAAGCTTGGCATAGTGATAGTAGTGGCAAGAGAAATAGAAGTTGATGAGGTTTTTGCACAAGGCTATGTTGTTTTGGAGGCCTAAAGTGACTACTTTTTGGTGGATTAGTTTGCCTTTTAACAGTGACTTAGAGCTAATGCTTGTTCTTAACAGAGATAATAGCTTTGTTGTGTCCATTCAAAATCAAGAAATTGGGTACAGTGGTGAAGTTTTATCTGAGAGAGGACAGATTGATTTACCTGAAAGCCTGCAATGGCATTCTTGCATGGAGACTAATTTTGTAAAGTGGTTCCAAACTCAAGTTGCCATATTCTTTTGTTTCTGTTATATAAGTTGAAAACGGCACAATTTAGATATAATTTGTCTAAATCCATTAATCTAATTGAAAAGTTATATATAAAAAAGAGGAGAAAACTTAAATGAGATAGTCTCGTCACCTCATTTTGTTGACGTAGTAAGATCGTTCAATAATATGAAAAATTTTGTTATCATATATTAGGTATATTTATTTAATTGAATGATTTCACTACGTTAAATTGTTAATATAATGAGATAGTCTCGTATAAGTAGTCTTGTATAAGTATCTTTGAAATAATGATAATTTTGAAGTTAACCTGTATTATATAAATATAAAATTATTATACAAAAATTTCCCTTAAGAAATATCTCAGATGTGGATAGGGCTAAAAGATTACAACTTAAAGAATCAGAAAAACCTTATTGGTTTTCTTTTACGAGTAATGTTACATCCACAATCCCTTTTCACAATCTTTCTCTTACAACTCCCGACGTGACAGTTTATAATTAGTCAATTGCAATTTATCAGGTGGGACCTAAGTGGAATCATTATGAACTGACCAATTATGAGTTGCCACGTCGGGGTTGTAAGAGAAAGTTTGTAAGAAGAGATTATAGGTGTAACATTTTTCTTTACTAAATTTCAGAAAAGATGAAAGAGGGAGGTCAAATGAGGATTCCTATAACCATCTTTTAAGGCTATAGAATTACAGAGGCAATACAAGCTTTGCCGACTGGATGTTGTCCTTAACCAAGCTTAGGGAGTTAGCACTCTTTGCATGCAGAAAATGTAAACATTTGCCTCCCTTAGGGAAACTGTCATCGCTTTAATGTTTAGAAATAAAATGGATGGATAGTTTGAGAAGAGTGGGTAATGAATTTTTCGGCATAGAGAGTGTTGGCACATCTTTATCTTTTATTTTCTTCCCCAAACTAAAAAAAAATTATTTTGGCATATGAATGAATGAGAAGGGTGGGATTATGAGATTAAAAGAAATGGAGAAGAAGAAGATATTACAATAATGCCCCAAATTGAAGGCACTACCAAACAACCTTGTCCAAGAACAGAAGGCCGGAAAAAAGAATTTTGAGGTTTGCCCCTTCAGGCTACCCTTGAAGGCAAAAATCAGAGGTAATTTTTCCTTTTTCTTTTAGTAAGTCCTTTTGTTCGATCCAAATTTCTAATTGAATATTAATCACTTTTAACTATTTTTTATAGTTTTTTTTTTTTTTTTGCTAATCAAGGGTGTTCGGGCTAGCTTGCGCGCACCTTAACTAATTTTTTTGGGGTCCTAAAGTTAATGACGGGTAATCCTCCTGTGACCACCTTTATTAGCAATCGAGGATACTGAACTCAATACCTCTTGAATATTCACCCAAGAGTCCGAGTTGACCGTCTGGCCACTCAAGGGTTGGTTTAGAAGAAAGTACTTGATGAAATAATCAGCATTGCCACTCCATCTGCTTGGAATGTCTCCAATATACTCCGGTAACATTGTGGCCTTCATAACTGCATCTCATCTATATTTCTATATGCTACATTGCTTCGTTAAAAAGAGCAAATTGTTATTGATGATAGCCAATTACCTATTCATGTATACACAATCCCTTTTTAGAATTAACATCATCATTGTCATTTTTAATCTTCCATTAATATTAATGCTTGCATCTTCAGTCATAGTGTGGTTTAACATCATTGATCATGGAATGATGAATGGATGCAGAGAAGAATTCAAACATAATGGTACAAGCATGCTAGATGAGATCTTATCAATGAAAGGGGTGACTTATACTTTCCAATTTTCTGATAATGTTGAAGTGCTTTTCACTTTTTACAAAGGCATGTAATTTTCTATGCATAGTGTCAAATTTCATTAAATATTTATTGTCTCAGTGAGCTTTACATTATGGAAAAATGAAGAATAGCATTATGAGGTAGTCAAAATAATTCTATTAATATGTAGTTAATGTTTCGTTAGGTATTCTCACTATAACTTTTTCTTTCTTCATTTCTTGATGTTTAAACAGAAGCGCTCTCAGAATCATGTTTCTGATATTGTTTTTTCTTTCATGTGTAGTATGATTGTGTAATCATGCTACCTATGTTGAGAGTTAATAATTTCTGTCACTGTTCAACTAAGGAAATACTCAAGGGGTAAAGCAATGGCAGAAACTTCTTATAATGTAGTTGCTTTCAAAACATGTACATATGTAAATACATATTCTCTTTGCTTATATACATAAGCTAATCTCCATTAAACCTAAAAAGTTTACACTCTTCGGCACTTGAGAATTTCGGCTAATTTAAGATGCTTGGTAAATTGACTAGATTGGTGTTAATGAGTTTGCACGAAATAGTATTTTGCCCAACACTATACACTCAAATAAGGAACATATCACTAATGTAACAAAATTAGAAACTTAGGTTAGTAATTGATCGTTTAGTAAAATTGAGGTACTTTAAGGGTTACTTGCTGCTTACAAAAGTATCAATTATTGAAAGTGAAATTGATGTTTAATTATTTGAGGAATGTTTAATCAAATCATTGGCTTCATTTGTCCAATCAAAGTATAAGTTGGTACAAGTGAAATATAAGTTTAGTTCTTTCTTTTGATCTCCATTTACTCGCTTTCCACTCTTGCATCAGATTTTTAATTTCAGAAATGAGACTCTACAAAGCAATGAATTTGAATTAAAGCTATATTCCATGCCTTAACCACCTTTAAAGCATCATATGCGATTGCTTGGTGACCGAGAAAATCAAGTGTTGGGCAAGCATATTCAATTTTTTTTTCAATTACAACTATTTATAAAGATTGAAAGCATATAGCATTTTCACACTTACAAGCAAATCTCATATCTTACAATTCAAAACCTTACCATCTTGATATCATGGCTGATGCAATTGTTTCCGGTGTCTTGGGGCAGCTAGTTCAATCATTGGTGACGAAATAAAGCAGAGGTGAAGCTAGTTGTTGGTGTCGACAAAGAAGTCAAAAAGCGTAGGACATCTTGAAGCTATTGAAGCTGTGCTCGTTGATGCGGAGGAAGACAAGTCAGGAGTAAACCGTAAGACTTTGGTTAATCGGCTCAACACATCCTACAACATTGAAGATGTGTTGGATGAGTGGAACTACCCATGTGTTAAAACACAAATTGAGGGAGTTGAATATGTTGTGTTCCTAAGAAGAAGGTGTGTTTTCTCTTCCCCTCTCTGCTTTTCATTCAACAAGTTAGTTTAAGCCAAGTATTTAACCGCATGACATTGCAATGAAATAAAGGAAGTTAATGAAAATTTAGATGTCATTGCAAAACAAAAAATATGTATAATTTTAATGCGATTAGAAGTCTTGGAAAGTTTGAATGAGTAGAAATATGTACCTCATTGTTATGTGTCAGATATTATGGTCGAGTTGAGATAAGAATAATTAGTACGCATGTTGTGCAAGAGTAATGAACAACCCCCCATATATCATCTCTATTATAGGGATGGGGGAATCGGTAAAACTACTCTTACCAATTTGCTTCTAAAGATAATAGGGGTGATAAACCACTTTGATAAAGTAATTTGGGTGTGTGTGTTAAACTTTTTGATGAATACAGGAGCCAAAGCAATCATTAATTCTCTAGAAGGTTCTTCTTGAATTTAGGTACACTGGAATCCTTTTTCACTTTTAGTATATCTATTGCTGGAAAGAAATTTTTCCTATCTGGATGATGTGTAGTCAAATGACTACAAAACATGGGAACCATCTATCATTGTTTAAAGAATGGTCTCCATGGAAGTAATTCTGATTACTACACGTAAGGAACAGTGGCACGTATGATGGAATCAATTGACATTATTGTGTCAAAGTATTGCATAAAATGTTGGTTGTTGTTTAGGCGAATAACATTTTTTTGTAGGTCTCAAGAAGAGTGTGAAAATCTAGGAGATAGGCAAGAAAATTTTAAACAAGTGCAAGGGTTTGCCTCTTGCTGTAAAGACTATTGGTATTTTTTGCGCTTTAAAAAAACTAGAGAAGAGTGGTTAAAAATCTTAGATAGTGATTTGTGGAAAGTTGAAGAGTTTGAAAATATATTTTTTCCCATTATTATTAGTTATAATGATTTGCCTTTTATGATAAAACAATGTTTCATATATTGTCCAGTCTTTCCTAAGGATTATAGAATAGAGAAAGTGATTTGATTAAATTATGGATGGCTCAAGGATATCTCAAAGAAGGAAATAAAGCAATGGAGATAGTTGATGAAGAGTATTTTGACTACTTAGCAGTTACATCATGCTCATTCTTCCAAAGTTCAAAAAAGACTATCATAGTAATATCTTGAATGTAAGAGGCATGATTTGTGCATGACTTGCCCATTCTAAGTAAGAAGGAATGTCTCTACATAGAAGTTGACGGTCTTAAGTATCACATCATAAACTCTTCTTATCATGAGCAATTTGTCACTTGATGGTGACAATTCATGAACAAAATTCATTTCCTGATTCCATTTTAGTCTCAGAAGGATCACAGTTTCTTATATAATTTTAAAGTTTCCAATAAGGCATTGGCTCCTAATATCTTACCAAAATTATGTGGTGAATTGACATCTTTAAGGCATTAACCATAGATGGATGCCATGGTGGTATGAAAATGTGATTGAAGACATTCCTAAAGAGATTGGAAAATTATACATTTGAGATATCTTAATTTGAGGGAGCTAAAAATGAGAAAACTTCCAGAAGCATTATGTATTATATATTTGCAAACTTTAGACATTAGTTATTGTCTAGATTGGAAGAATTACCTCAGGGATTGGAAAATTAATAAACCTAAGGCATCTAAAAATTATAAGGTTCATCTTAAGATACAGCCAATGGGAATTCAAGATTGATTAATCTGCTAACCTTAAGGTATTTTGTTGTTGGTAAAATATATAACATGCAGCCTTGAAGGTTTGAAATACCTTAACCCTTCGGAGAGTTTTATATGAAAAGTTGGGAAATGTTCAAACTGGACGAAGCTAGAAATCATAGCTCAAGAATCAGAAAAAACTCCTCATTGTCTCTGGATTTTGAAAAAGATGAAGGAGGGAGGATGAATTAGGATGATAAGCACTTCTTGAAATCTTACAACCACCTTTATTTGGAGAAATTATAGAAATAGAATTACAACCACCTTTAATTTGGTACGTATGAATTGGAAAGTGGAACTATAAGGTTAAAAAATGGAAAAGAAGAAGAAACACCATCTTTGTTTTCTTGGATATTCGTTACTGCCCCAAATTGAAGGCAATACCAAACCACCTTGTTCGAACCCAGCATTGAACAAAGATATTATGTGTTGTCCTCTGCTACGCTAACGTTGAAGGAAAATGAGAGGTAATTTTTTTTTTTTTTTTTCTGTCTTTGAATAAAATCTTTTTGTTCCATCTAATTTCTGATTGAATATTTAATCACTTCAATATTTTTTTTTTTCTCTTCTGAAGAAAATACTTGATTGAATTAACCGGCAATGCCCCTCCATCTGTTTGGAACATCTCCCATATATCTTCTGTATAATGTGGCCATCCATAATCACCGTCTTTTATGAAGAGGAGAAGATTGTTGAGGACAACCTCATGACCTATATAATATATCTGTACGCGTGCCCTATATCATATATTAACCATTTAATCATTTGATAACTCATTGAGCTTCTCAAATTAACTCTCTTTCAGCTTATTGAAACCAGGCATCGAATTCTCTCTACAGAAGTTTGCAGATTGAGGTATCCTGCTAGAAAAAGTTAACAGACATGGAAATATCATGTATCACCTATGGCCGTATATCTTAAAGGTGATAACCCCTCTTTCCTTGCATCAATTTTCTGATAATGTTTAAGAGCTGTTTTTTCTTTTACACTAAAGCATTTAATGTTCTATTTATAGCTTCCAATTTCAATAAATAGTCATTGATTCAGTGCGGCGTTTTGTCTTCCGGAAGAAGGAAATAATGGGTGTTAGGAGAGTAGTTGGAAGAACTCAGTTAATGGTTGGATATGAATTTTTTTTTCTTTCTTCTTTTCGGATGTTTAAAAGCACTTCACAACATTTGTGTTCTGATTCAGTTATTTCTTTAATAAGCAGAGCTGATTTACTATTTGGGCTATCTATCCTGAGAGCTTACAATTTCTGATTCTAAGGCATGCAATTTTCTATTTTGAGTCTCCAATTTCATCAAATTTTCGATTATGGAAGAGAAGAAGAATGGCTGTGGGAGAGTATTTGGAAGAACTCCACTAATGGTTTGTTATGCTTTCTCACTAATATTTACTCTTTCTTCAGTTCTCAATGTTTAAATGGAAAGCACAAATCACTGCTTTGTGTTTCTGATTCTGTTATTGACTATAATATGCAGAAGTGATTTATTGTTTCAATGGCTTCCTATATATGCTGAGAATTACTGTTTCTATCTCTCATCTGTGGAGGAAATACTAAAGGGCAAAGCAGTAAAGGACCATTTTTAGCAGTCAACGACAGCATTCATAACAAGAGAGACCTTTACCTGATTAAGCAAGCGCTGGATGTTTTGGTTTTCACATTTTCTTGGTGAGTTAGCATCAAATCTATATTTCTATCGCCTACATGATTCTTTATCACTGTCATTCATACTTTTCATCATCTGATAATGTTAACGTCATGATCTTTTCCTTTTTACTAGGGCATGCAAGTGTCTATTCAATCACAGTTCCAAATATCTGCCTTAGAACAAATGTGGAAGAGAGGAAGGATAAATGTAGGACAGTATGTACTCAAAAGGACTGAAATGGTTGGTTCTGCTTTTTTTAACTTCTGTATTTTTTGCTTCATGTTTAAACTAGAAAGTAGATCACAGCATTATTAGTGGTACCGTAAATTTTTTAATGTTTACATAGAGCTATTGGATTGCTCTTTTGCTGAAGAATCAAGGTGTTATTATAATGTATTAAGAAGTTTAAGAATCAAGGTTTGTCATCAATTGTTAATTGTTACCTATATTAAGACATTAGTTCTGTTTGAGAACTAGGTATAATGCTGGAAAAAAGTGACAGGCCAGTAAATACCTGATGTATCCGTGCTTTTTGGAGGTCAAAATCCCACTTTTAATGCATCAATTTTCTAGTATTGTTCAAGCTCTTTTTTAATTTTAACTGTTTTTCAAAAAAGAGATTTAACAAATTGTTTCTATATATTCATTAATTAATAAAATAAATAAATATTAAATTATAAAATATTTAGGTTCACTTTACTCTTTTGTCATCTTTGAACAGAATGAAACCTGGAATCAACTTTTCCCTCTTCTGAACTCTGTATCATGCCGGAAAACCATTGACGTATGATGTCCTGAATTTGCCCAAGTATCAAGGTTGAAATATGTTGTACTAAGAAGTTACCTATGTTAAGACATTAATTAGCTCTGCTTGATCTTATTAAAACAAGGCATCAAATTTGGGTTAACAGAACTTTGTATCATGTTGGACAAACATTGACAGATCAGGAAATATCTTGTGTATACCTACTTCTTGAAGATCATAACCCCACTTTTCATACATCAGTTTTCTGATAATGTTTAAGCTCTTTTTGACTTTTAACGAAGGCATATAGATTTCTATTTATAGTTTCAAATTTCATCTAATATTTATTTTCTCAGTGCAGCATTCACGTTATGGCAGAGGGGAGGAATGCCATTAGAAAATAGTCGAAAGAATTTTATTGATGACTAGTTATGATTTCTCAATGCTGCTTTTTCTGTTCTTCCTCAGTTCATCAAATTACAGTGGTTGCCCTCTTTAAAATTATGTTGACTCGCCTGAGGTCTGCTTCTAGTTCTTTCTCTACTTTGTAGGACATTGGAAAGCCATGTTCTCTCTTATAAAACTTGATTTTGATATGTTATTTTTTATTCAGTTAGGCAAGATGTCACGAATTTGCTGAAGAATCAAGGTTAAAAAATGATATATATATCAGAGAAGTTGCCAGATTGAGGTTCGAGTTGCATTCCTTTGCTTGACCAAAACTTCCCAATATCTACTAAGCATTTCTTTCGTTTCAGCTTTTGAAACAGACATTGAATTCTATCTACAAAATTATCTATGATGCTGGTAAAAATTTGACAGGTGTCAAAGTACCATACTTCTTAAGTTCATAATCCCACTTTTCATACTTCAATTTTCTACAGAAATTTTTCTTACAGGGCATGTAATTTTCTACTTGTAGTTCAAATTTCAACAAACATTTATTGTCTCAGAGCATCATTATGCGTTATGGAAGAGAGGAAGAATGGCATTATGAGTGTATTCAAAAGAACTCGATGAATGGTTAGTTATGCTTTCTCAATGCTGATTTAATTTCTATTCTTTGTTTGATGTTTAATTGGAGAGCATATAGCAGTTTTATCTGCAGGATGAAACAAATGCTTACTCCCGGGTCCTCACATTTGGAATTCGGTGAGCTTCCATCATCAAGGATTTGCAGGATTTTCAGGGCTCTTGTGAAGTAGTGAAACTTAAAACATAGCATTTTCTGACACCAATTTCTAGAATAATATTTCAAGAAAATGATAAGAGGCACTTTTTCAAATCCTGATTAATTTTTTTTGTTTCATACTCAAATATTTCATTTGCTTTCTCTTACTGTTAGATTACGCTTTAATCAGGAAGCTTATCTAATTACACTAAATTTCCTCTTTGAAATCTTTGAGGACTCGTTCTAGGTTTATTTTCCTTTTCTTTTTACTTAGTAGGACATTGTGAGGCCATGTTTTACCTAATACAACTTGATTTTGATATTTTAATTTTGATGCAGTGAGGCAAGTACCTGTGTTAAGAAATTTGTTCTCTACAGACTGTTGTATCATGCTGGGTGTAACTTCAAACTAGAAATTCTGCATTACTTATTTCAAGAAACACCTTCTGCTCCTACACCAATCTGAAGCCCAGCAACTCTACTTTATCTCAACACTGGGAAACATTTTGTATTTTTTTCTTTACATAAATACTAAAAATATGCAGTGTTCTGTTTTCAATTTCAAAATTTCATCAGTTTTTGGGGTTATGGAAGAGAGGAAGAGTGGCATTAGGAGAGTAGTCGACAGAACTCAACCATGGTTGGTTATGCTTTGTCACTGATCTCTTTTCATTCTGACTAATCCAATAGGCATACATCAATGATGTTTGAACAGAAAGCCCATTTCAGTGTTGTGATTCTGATTTTCTTATTTACTTTGATGTGCAGAGTTGATTTACTAGTTCAATGGCTTCCTATATATGCTGAGAATTTACAATTTCTGTCACTCATTGATAGAAGAAATACAAAAGGTCCTTTTCACAGACTAATCATCTGATATTGTTTTCACAGACTAACTCAACTTTTCATAGACTAATCATCTGACTGTTTCAGATTTCTACCTTAGAACAAATATGGAAGAGAGGAGGGATAAATATAGGAGATTATTTCCCCATAAGGACTGCAATGGTTGGTTATGCTTTCCCACTTCTCTGTTTTTTCTTCATGTTTAAACAAGAAGCACATCACAGCATCATTACCGGTTCAGTGAAATCTTTAATTTTTTATGCAGAAAAAACAGAGACAAGTTTCCTATAGGTTTAGACATTGGTTCTCTTTGAGCATATTGACACCAGTCATCAAATTTCCTCTGCAAAACTTTGTATCATGCCGAAAAATAACGATAGGACTGGTGAAACAAGGGCTAAATTTTATGGTTTTCACATTTTCTTGGTGAGTAGCATATCATCTATATTCCCATCATCACTGTCATTTGTAATCCTTTAAATAGTACTAGTCCTTTAAATAATGGTGGCCATTCATCATCACCAGTCTTTTGTAAGGAAGAGAAGATTGTTGAAGACAACCTCAGGATGGTCAGATCTTGTTTAGTCTTTGAAAACCTCTTTCTTTTTTTCTTTTTAAAAAAAAAAAATCCAACAGTTGCTAAGGTCTCTGTTTTATTTTGATTTTTTTTTTTCTTAAATCATATACACACTGTGTTTTCTTTTATCATCAAGTAAAACAGGGATAATGTTACTGACATCAACGTTTTGCACCGAAATGTTAAACCGAATGACATGTCACCTGAGTCAGACAAGCCACATAACACGTTAAGTAATATTTTGTGAATGAACAATCCATTTTTATTAGACGGTCACTCATTTGAAATAAACTCTCGTCCATATTATATGGACGAGAGTCCATCTATAAAGACGCTCGTCCATAGTTTAAATTAAAAAAATTTAATTAAAAAATCATGGACACCCGTCTATATATTATGGACGGGTGTCCCTACTTAATGGACGGGCGTCCAGTCCATTGTTTCAATTAAAAAAAAATTGAAAACAAAAGTAATCTCATTCTTTTAGTCAAAGTTTGTGAACATTCATGGCACCTTTTTTTTAATTTTATTTTTTTATTTCAGATGGTGGACCCCTTGACTGCATTGATGTATGCATGACACCTGTTTCTTTACTTTATTTTTTATTACAGATGGTGAACCCTTTGACTGTATTTATGTATGCAGTTCAAGTGATGAACTTCTATTTACTTGGTGTTTGTGTTTGAAAGTAAATAAAAATAGGAGTTTAGAAGAGGAAAATAAAAGGAACATTACGGGAAAGAGGAGATTATGTTGTAGAGCAGAGTCCCTATTTACTGGATAGTAATGGACGGGCGTCCATCTAAGAGGGACGCCCATCCATTTGCTTTTATTTTTAATTTAAACAATGGACGGTCGTCCATGATTTTTGTTATCAAATTTTTTTAATTTAAACTATGAATTGACGTTTATATAGTGGACTCTCGTCTAATAAGTAAGGACGCTTGTCCACTTCAAATGAACGGTTGTTTAATAAAAATGGACGTCCATTAATTCACGAAATATTTTTTAACGTGCTACGTGGCTCGTCTGACTTAGGTAACATATTGTTCGGTTTAATATTTCGGTAGAAAGTGTCGGTGTCCGTAGCATTATTGTTATTTAAACCCCCTAAAGTTTGTTTGAATTAAAAGCCCTTGCTGTATCGGTACTAACTGAAGACCCCCTACCATCAGTGCTTTGCCGTTAGCTTTGATAGACAAGTGCTAAATAATGTTAATACCCTCGGTCCCCTATGCCCAGCAACGTTAACACACCCAGTAACCAAACAACCTCTATCTTGTCCACCAGACAACACCAAACAGCCCCCTTCCCCACCCGAGTACACTCCAACACCATCACCATCACCATCACCATCGCCACCACCATCATCATCCACCATCCATTACAACCACCAAGGGCGGAACATAGAGTGGGCTAGCCCTAGATTTTTTAAAATTTAGCCTGATCAAGAAAAAATTCCTAGTTGCGCCCCTTACAACCACAAACAAATTGGGCTTTGAGAAATCAAACATAATCAAATTAAAAATCAATAAACCCAAATGCGCAAAACCAAACAACCAAAATGCTCCACCACCAAAATCCACAACAAGCCCAATCTTGGCCTAAGTGACATCCAGATAATAATCAGATTTTCCAACAGTGCTCTCAGTGTTTGGGCTTTGAGAAAGCAAAGTGGTGGAGGTTGTGCAGCAGCCTTCTAAGGGACGGCCTTCAAAGGTGGATTTGTGGCTGTGGGGATGCGGAAGAAAAGTGGGGGGGATCGAATAGAAATTTGCATGCATTAGAAAATGCTTTCTCACTTCTCTGTTTTCTCTTCATGTTTAAATAAGAAAGCACATCTCAGCATCATTACTGGCTCAATAAAATCTTTAATTTTTATTAAGAACTGATTCATATATCTATAACATGCTTTCTCTTACTGTTGGATACCTCTTTTATCAGGGAGCTTCTCAAATTACAGTGGATTCCCTCTATGAAATCTTTTGATGACTCATTGAGATAGGTTTGTTTCCTTGGTTATCTCTCTACTTAGTGGGTACATTGAAAATCCTTGTTCTCTCAAATTAAACTTGATTTTGATATGCTAATTTTGATGCAGAGTGGCAAGATTATGGTGTAATGAATTTTCTGAAGAATCAAGGTTGAAATATGATGTATGAAGAAGTTTCCAGATTCAGGTTCTCGTTGCATTCTTTTCTTGACCAGAAGTTTCCTGATTTAGGACATTTGTTACCTATGAAAATTGAAGGTCATAACCCCACTTTTCATACATCAACTTTCTATTTATCGTTTCAGATTCCATCAAATGTTTATTGTCTCAGTGAAGCATTTTGCGATATAGAAGAAAGGAGGAATAGCGTCGAAAGAACTCGATCAATGGTTGGTTTTGCTTTCTGAATGCTGCTTTCTGTTCTTTCTTCATTTCTTGATGTTTAATTTGAAAGGATATCGTAGCATTTTTTGTTACAAGGAATGAACATAAACTCTTCTAATCAATGAGGATGACAAATCACTTCTTGAAATCTTACACCCACCATTGAATGTGGAGAAATTACGGCAATGGAATTACAGGGGCAACACTATTTTCACCGACTGGATGATGTCCTTAACCAACCTCAGGCACTTAAGAATTTGTCATTCCATAAACTGTAAGCATTTGCCTTCCTTGGGAAAATTGCCATCCCTTGAATCTTAGAGATATGGCATATGGAGAGTGTGGAAAGAGAAATATTTTTTGGAATGAAAAGTGATGGCACATCTTCATTATTTATTTTCTTCCCCAAATTGAAAAAACTTAAGTTTTTGCTATTGACTGAATGGTTTTGTTTTTTGAAAATTGATGGCTGCCCCAAATTGAAGGCATTACCAAACTACCTTGTTTAGAATACAACATTGGATATATCCATTGAGGATCGTCCTATGTTAGGCCGCTTGAAGGGAAAAATGAGAGGTAATTTTTTTGTTTCCTTTTGTTTAATCCAATTTGTGATTGAATATTTAATCACTTTAGTAATTTTTTATTTTTCTCTCTTGATCAAAATACTTGTTGAAATAATCAGAGATGCGCCTCCATCTTTTTGGAACATCTGCAGTATACTCATTGGTGTAAACGTAGCTGTCCATGTAATCTCATCATACTCAGATTTTGTTTTTTCTCTGAATTTTTATATGGGAACTTTAAAATTTATTATTAATATTAATTAATGATATATTAAATTTTGGAAAAGAACTCACCTTCTTCAACTTCTCAAAATTTATCGCTTTCTGAAGAACTCCATGAACCAAAATTATGTAATAGTTCAAATGGAAGGCTTAATCATTTTCTTCTTAAGCACTATGTTATATTTTGGGTTTTCTATAAATTATTTTCTTTTTCATCAAGTGAAACAATTAAACAGAGCATTTTCCCAAAACAAGTTCAAAGAATGATGTCGAACTCTCCTGTTAAATAACTGTCGTTGCCTTTCTCTTATGTCAGGTTGCTTCTCCAATTTCATAGAATTCCATCTATGAATTACTAGGATAGTTCAGTGAGGTACGTTTGTTTCTTAATACTTCTAGTTTGCTCCTTAACCAAACTTGACCTTTTCATGTTAGTCTTGATGCAGTGAATCAAGTTTAAAATTCCATCAAATTTCTTCAAACAACGCATTAAATTTCATCTACAGAGCTTCCTATCATGCTGAAAAAGGGACAAACCGGGAAGTATCTTCTATGGGAGATGTTCATACTTTTAAGTCATAACCCAACTTTTCATAGATTAATCATCTTATAATGTTTATGCAATTTTTTTACTTTTTATACTAAGGCATGCAAATTTCTACCTCAGAACAAATATGGAAGAGAGAAGGGATAAATATAGGAGATTATATATCCAAGAGGACTAATAAAATTGGTTATGCTTTCTCAGTTGTTTCTTTCATTTTTTTTTTTTTTTTTTTTTTTTTTTTTTTTTTATGTTTAAACTAAATTGAACATCACAGCATTTATAATGGTTGAAAATCCATGTTCTATTCTGTTAAACGTGATCTTGATATGTTAATGTTGATGCAGAGGCAAGTTTAAGATGTCTTGAATTTGCCCAAGTATCAAGGTTGAAATATGATGTATTAAGAAGTTAACTATGATTGAGGTTCTTGTTGCATTCTTTTTCTTGACCAAAAGTTATCTATGTTAAGACATTAGCTTTGCTTGATCTTAGTAAAATAAGGCATCAAATTGGGTTAACAGAACTTTGTATCATGTTGGGCAACATTGACAGACCAGGAAATATCTTGTGTATCCCTACTTCTTGAAGATCATAACCCCACTTTTCATACTTTAATTTTCTGTTAATGTTTAAGCTCTTTTTGATTTTTAACTAAGGCATATAAATTTCAATTTATAGCTTCAAATTTCATCAAATATTTATATTCTCAATGCAGCGTTTCGCGTAATTTGATTGATGGTTGGTTATGCTTTCTCAATGCTGCTTTCTGTTCTTCTTCATTTCATCAAATTACACTGGATGCCCTCTTTAAAATATTGTTGACTCTTTCCATGATATATATATATATATATCACAGAAGTTGCCAGATTGAGGTTCTAGTCGCATTCCTTTGCTTGACCAAAACTTCCCAATCTACTGAGCATTTCTTCTTTTTCAGCTTTTTGAAACCAGACATTAAATTTTGTCTTCAGAATTTTCTATCATGCTGGTAACTTGACGGGCCTCAAAGTACCGTACTTCTTAAAGGTCATAATCCTACTTTTCATACTTCAATTTTCTACAGAAATTTTCTTGCAAGACATGTAATTTTCTATTTGTAGTGCAGTATTTTGCATTATGGAAGAGAGGAAGAATGGCATTATGAGTGTTGTCGAAAGAACTCGATGAATGGTTAGTTATGCTGATTTAATTTTTGTTCGTGATGTTTAATTAGAGAGCATATAACAGTTTTATCTGCAGGATGAAACCAGCACTCACTCTCGGGTCTTCATATTTAGAATTTGGTGAGCTTCCATCATCAAGGATTTGCAGGGTTTTCAGGGCTATTGTGAAGTAGTAAAGCTGAAAACAAAGCATTCTCCAACACCAATTTCTAGAGAAATATTTCGAGAAAATGATAAGAGGCACATTTTCAAATCCTAAATTAATTTTTTTTTTTCGTACTCAATCTTTCATTTGCTTTCTCTTACTATTGGATTGTGCTTTAATCAGGAAGGTTATATTTACTTAGTAGGAGTGTAGGACATTGTGAGACCATGTTTTCCCTAATACATAACTTGATTTTGATGTGTTAATTTTGATGCAGTGAGTGTTATGCAACGGAAACATAAACTCTAATGCTAGCTTATTGAATATAATAATACAAGTAATAAAGCATAAATAAATTGCCAAAATTAAATGCAAAAATAAAGAATACCAGGAATTAACGAGGTTCGCTATTAAAACCTACGTCCTTGGGTGCTGCAAAAGAAAGCTCCACTATCTCCAAAACATTATTACAAATATTTGGGCAATACAACAAATACCCAAAACAAAGGGGAGATACAACAAAACTTGCAAACTAAAGGGTCCTTAAAGAAAGAACCACTTGCAAAAAGAAGTAATGGAATTACAACTTGGGATACAATTAACATTAATTTAGGTCCTTATATATAGGCCCCGAAAATTTCCCACTTCTCATTCCTTTTCAATGTGGGACAAACTAACTCATTTTGGCCCATTACATATAAGTCCCTAAACCTTTCTCCATTATCACTTCTACCCCATGTGATTTTGCTAAAAGCCATTTTTCAACAAATCTCCACCTTGGCGAATTAGCAAATCTTCAAAGTTTTGTATTCTTCTGCCAAATTTTGCAACACCTTCAAAAGCATCAAAAGACACAGTCAAGCTCACAAGATGTTGATCAAGTTCAAACAATAAATGAACTTGACCCTTGTCACTACTGAAGTCAACATGTCTGTAGGATTATCTTCTGTGCCAATCTTCTGGAAAATCATTTTCCCATTTTCAATATAATCCTACACATAAAACTAAACCAATATCTATAGTACATAAAATATACTGTAGAAACCATTTCACAATTTGCAAATGTCCTTTACCAGGATCATACATATGCCTGCTCACCATACTAACTGCTTGTGAAATATCAGGCCTTGTGTACCCATGGCCCATCATACATTGATCAAATCGCTTGTACCACTGTCTTGGTGACTGCTTCAAACTATATAGCGATTTCTTCAATCTGCAAACCCAAGTTTTGTTTCCAGCAACCCTATAATCATCTGGCTGAGTCTTGTAGATTTCCTCTTCCAAACTACCATGTGAAAACACGATTTGCACATCCAATTGAACTAGTTCAAAATCAAACTGTGCCACCAAGGTTAGCAAAATTAGAATGGAAGAATACTTTACCATAGGAGAAAACACTTCACTGTAATCAAATCCTTCCATTTGAGCGTATCCCTTTACTACCAACCTAACCTTGTGCCGAACATCTTCTCTATTAGGAAATCTCTTCTTCTTTGCATACACCCATTTGCACCCAATCGCCTTCTTATGTAGGGATCGCATTTCATCATTCATGGCCGGTTTCCATGATTCACAATTTGAACTCCTAACTACTTCTTTATAAGTAGTAGGAATATCATCACCTACGATTGGAAGTGCATAAGCCACCATATTAGCGAAACGAGCAGGCTTGCGAATTTCTCGTCTTGGCCTATTGTATGCAATCGATTCCTGTTGCTGAGGAGATTCTTGGGGTAAAATCTCCTTTTCATCAATAGTATCCACATTAGTCACCTCAGAATCACTTTCTGTCTTGTGGACACTATCTGGTTCAACTGTTGTTTCAAACTCCACCTGCTGCCGAGTATGCTCCACACACATATGCCACAGCTTGAGCATTTCTGAATCTGCATCCTCCTGTACGACTGCAGCTGTCGTTCCAATAACTGTACTACCATTATAGTAATACAAGTTGTTTCTCCTCGTGCCTTTCATTACCACAAGAGCGCCTGAAGAAACTTTTAGAATTCCATCTCGCATATTCACCGTGAAGCCTTTAGATTCCAAGGCTCCCAAAGAGATGAGATTCTTTTTCAACTTCGGTACATACCGAACATCTGTCAGAGTTCTAGTTGAGCCATCATGATTCTTCAACCGAATTGAACCTATCCCAGTTGTTTTACAAACATCATCATTGCCCATATAAACAACTCCACCATCAAGTTCTTCAAAATTAAAGAACCACTCCTTGTGGGGACACATATGATAGGTACAACCTGAATCCATAATCCACTCATTTGATCCAGAGGTGGATGGTAGGCTAACTAGACAGAAATCTGACTCATCCTCTTCACGCTCAATAACGCATGCATCAGAAGTAGCTTTGCCCTCTTTCTTTTGCAATTTCGGACAATATTTCTTCCAATGCCCTTTCTCACGACAAAAGGCACATTGATCCCAACTGAGTTTTCCCTTCGAACGAGATCTTCCTCTTCTCTCATTCTTACGACTCTGACTCCACCCTCCTGCTACAAGGGCTTCTGCTGACTCATCTCTATTCTCCTTCTGATCCTTCTTCCGAATTTCATGATTGGACAGAGCAGAACAAACTTCTTCAAAGGACAATTTTTCTCCATTATCACTTCTATCCCATGTAATTTTGCTAAAAGCCATTTTTCAACAGTGAGACAAGTACCTGTGTTAGGAAATTTGTTCTCCACCGACTGTTGTATCATGCTGGGTGTAACTGCAAACTGGAAATTCTGCATTTCGTATATCAAGAAACACCTTCTGCTCCTACAATCTCAAGCACAGCAACTCTACTTTATCTTAACACTGGGAAACGTTTTGTATAACTGTGTCTGTACTCCTTAACGGTCACAACCACACTTTCCATACATCAATTTTCTGATAATATTTTAAGTAATTGTTTCTTTATATAAATACTAAGAAATATGTAGCTTTCTGTTTTCAATTTCAAAATTTCATCAGTTTTTGGGGTTTTGGAAGAGAGGAAGAATGGCGGTAGGAGAGTAGTTGACAACACTCAACCAATGGTTGGTTATGCTTTGTCACTAATCTCTGTGCATTTTGACTAATCCAATAGGCATACATCAATGATGTTCAAACAGAAAGCACATTTCAGTGTTGTCTTTCTGATTTTCTTATTTACTTTAATATGCAGAGTTTATTTACTAATGGCTTCCTGTATATGCTGCAAATTTACAATTTCTTTCACTCATTAGTTGAGGAAATACAAAAGGGCAAAGCAATGAAGGACCAATTCTTTATAGTTTAATGGCAGAAACTTCATTCAGGCACTTATATTGTAACAAGAAGAAATTTTTGCCTGATGAAACAAGTGCTGAATCTTCTGGTTTTCACATTTTCTTGGCAGCTCTATATTTCTATCTCCTATTTTCTTCTTGAATTAGCATCATCACCTGTCATACGTAATCCTATAAATAATACCAGCTTTTTCTTGTCACAGAGTGCTTCAGTATCCAATGGTCATGGGATCATGAACTGTTAAAGGAAGGAATTCGAACATAATGGTAAATTCTGTTGAGAAATTTAAGTTTTTCATGTATTTAATTTCAGTTGTTCAATGGAGATAGAAGTATAAATATTACTGGTAAGGAATAAAAATTCTGGAAATTATTGTTGCTCACGGTACGTTGTAAATATAATCCACAATGAACAGCACAGTGTAAATATTTATTTTCCTTTTTGATCTCTTATCAGTTTTCCTTCTTTCTTCTTTTATTTCTCTCCCGTTTGCCCCCAATTCTGATATATTTGCTCTTAATCGTTATGTAATAGAATATGTCATTCTTGCATATATGTTCAAATTTGGCGAATATTAGTCATCAAGTGCTAAACTGTCTTTGTCCTAGGTTTTATCGCCTTCTTAGACAAGTGAAGAGACAAGTCTTGAGAGAAAAAGTGTAGAGACAAAAGAAAACTTATTGTAGAGAGTCTAGATTTTATACCTGGTATAGATAACTTTCTATGACTGAATTTTGTTGAGATTGAGTGAGCTTGCAACACTTGGCTATTGTGAGAGAATTCCGAATGTATTGTAACACACTTTTCTCGTAAAGTGAAACCAACATCATATTTGGCTGTAGGGCTGTTCGGCCAAACGCTTATATCATGTTGTTTGTGTGTGCTTGTTGCGTTCTTTGCTTTTTATATTGTTGATTGTTTGTAATCTGGATTTTGGAAATAGTTGTTAATGCTTAAATATTCTAGTACTACCGCATCCCAACTGCTCAATCAATTCCAACACTTAGGTTTCTTTTTCTTTCCAACAGTAACAACCCACAAAGCTTTTGTATGCAGTTTAGTCAGATAACCATGCAACTTAGTCATGTAAACAACAACTGATTCACCAACTACTATGTTGGCTTCTTTACATAAGAAATCTCAAGACATGTATTTGTTTTTATATGGTCAAAATAACCAATAAACCCCTTACATGCATTTCACAGTGAAAGAGGTACCATGCTTGACTGTCAGTAACTGGCCTGAAATGAACTGCCATATCGTCTCACAGATGAAAAGTAAAAGATTTGGGTCCCATATATGGATAAAATTCTTCATAATTTGAATTAATATTATACATTTACAACTTCTGCTTTAGTATTACTACAACACAACTATACATAAAACCAAACAAAAGATGATTCAAGGTGCCAGCCAACCAGGCTCACCGTCACTGACTCTACTAGCTTAAACAGATTTGGTATATATCAACATTAAATTCTGCATATTTTTATTGAATTATTGGTATCAATCGAAGGTGTGCAGGTCCTTGCCACCATGTAACATTTGACGGTTTCTAGGCTTCTTCTATGTTATGTAATATAAGAATTCAAAGGATGTCAAAAGCTTCACGAATATATCTCTTGCTCTTGCTTCTTTCAGATATTTACCTTCTCTGATTATGGCTGAAGCTATTATTTCCGGTGTCTTGGAGCAGCTGATTTCAATCATTGCTGAAGCGATACAACAGGAGGTGAGGCTAGTTGTTGGTGTTGACAAAGAAGCTAAAAAGCTCAGGAGCAATATTGAAGCTATTCAAGCTGTGCTTCTTAATGCAGAGGAAAGACAAGTGAAGGAGAGAAATGTCAGACGTTGGTTAGGTCGGCTCAAGGACACTTCTTATGACATTAAAGATGTGATGGATGAGTGGAACCATGCTTTGTTAAAACAGAGCATTGACGGGGTTGAAAATGCCCTTGTTCCTAATAAAGGTATGTTTTTCTTTTCCCTCCTCTTGCTTTTCATTCAAACAAATGAGCTTACGTCATGACATTGCGGTAAAAATAAAGAAAGTCCATGAAAATTTAGATGTCATTACGAACCAAAAAGAAATTTATAATTTTAATGTGATTAGAAGTGTTGGGAAGTCCGAAGAGTACAAAGTACCTCATTTGTTGATATGTCCGATATATATGGTTGAGTTGAGGATAAGAATACTTTAGTACACATGTTGTGTGAGAGTAGTGAACAAAAAGATATGTATGGTTTTTATGTGATTAGGAGTGTGAAAAGAGTGTGCAAGTACAAAGTACCACCTTTATTGATGTGTCTGAGATATGTATGATTCTGAGGCAGTGATACTGTTGTTTACTTTAATATGCAGAGTTGATTTACTAGTTCAATGGCTTCCTATTTATGCTGGGAATTTACAATTTCTGTCACTCATCAAAAGAGAATATACTCAAGGGAAAAACAGTAAAGGACCATTTTTTATAGTTCAAGGGCAGAATCTTCATTGAGGCACTTCTAGCAAGAAGAAACTTTTGCCTAATGAAACAAGTGCTGAGTCTTCTGGTTTTCACATTTCCTTGGTGATCTAGCATCTGAGCACTATCTCTTACTTTCTTCTTTAATTAGCATCGTCACTGTCATTTGTACTATTAATGCTTGCATCTTCATGTCACAGTGTGGTTCAGCATCAAATGATCATGGAATGATGAATCGATAGAGAGAAGGAATTCGAATATAACGGAACAGGCATGCTAAATTTGGAAATCTAATCAATGAAAGTGGTGACTAGTACCCAGATATAAAGTAGTTTATTTGGTTGAGAGAGATCATAGTTTTCATGTATTTTCAGTTGTTCAGTTGGGATAGAATCTTATAGGGTATTGGTTTTACATATCTTTTGAAAGACTTTTCTGTTAATATGTATTTGGTCTTAGAGGCCTGTAAAATTTTTGTTTCTTTGTGTGACAAAAGCCTTCTTATACAAGTAAATATAGTCGAGGAATTCTTAGTTATAGCATTTGCCTGCAAATATGTAAATATTGGAATATATTTTCCATCTTCCTTTTCTTAACAGTTTTCCTTCCTTCTTTTATTTCTCACTTGTTTCTCCCAAAATTCCAAATTATGTTCTTTTTGCTCTTGATTGAGGGTTCTATAATAGAATACTTGAGTATTGGTTCAATTTTGGTTGAGATTGACTATTGTAACACCTGTTTTTTTTCCCATAAAAAGAAACTCGCATCATGACATGCTGCATAGGCTATTGGTCCAACATTCATTGTTTGTAATTTTTGGTTTGGGTAGGGGTTAAGGTGTAGTTTACAGTTTTATGATCGGGGTGTTCAAACCAGTTTGTACGCGCTTCAATTAATCTTCAAGACCTATTGAACGTTAATGTTCTAAGGTAAGTCACAAATGTGATAGGTGGCATCAAGGTATTTCGAACCTAAAAAGTCAATGAAGAGAGCAGATTTTCTTGACCACCAGACCAATCCTTTAAGTTGTTTATTTTGAAATGTTGTTGAACCAATGATCTTAAATTTTATCTAATTTGATTAAACAAAGAGCATAATTTTTTATTTTTTTATTTTGGTGCATTTAATTTCCAAACTATTTTTAGATTTTTTTTTTCTATTAAATCAATGTATTTGTTCCACTCAATTACTTTTAACTTCTTTTTCTCTCTTTTGAAGAAAAAACTTCATTGAATTAACTGACAATGCCCCTCCATCTACGGGTGTTAAAAAAAAAGCAAAAACTAGGCCAGGAATTGATAACTGAACCGAAAAATCGGTTAATCGAAAGAATGGTTCGGTTACGGATCAAAGAATTCAAAAAATCATATTTTAGGTTCGGTTTTCGGTTCGCGTAAAAATGAAAACCGGTTTTTTAAACTAGTTTACTAATATATATATAATAATAATAATAATCTTAATCCCTAAATTTGTATAATTTCTTTTTTTGTTTTCCATTGGGACTTATTTAGTTATTTTATTATTTTATTATAGACGTTTCATGCGGACTTTTATTTTCGTTTAATTTCGGACTTTTATTTGTATCAATTTTTTGTATTGTTAGTTATAGTCAATAGATATGTATGAATATTTAATTATTATTTAGATATATATTGTTAATATTTACAATTTAATTTAGGAAAAATTAAAAAGAAAAAAGTTTTATCTGATAAAAAGGGAAAAACCGGTTCAAAACCAATTAATTAGTTTTTTCAAAGCCGTTAACCAGTTTTTTGGTTAACCGAAAACCGATTTTTCCTCCAAATCGATTAGATTTTGGTTTAGAAAATTTCTGAATCGAAAAACTGGTTCGGTTCAAGAAAGCGGTTAACCATGTCTGGTGAAGCAATATAGTAATTGGTCTTTATATTTTGAAAAACAAAAAGATGATAGAATCACCGGCATGGTCAAGTGGGCATTAAACATCAAAGTTGGAGCTGTTTGTTTACAGGACTAACCATATAAGAGAAGGAAAGAGGAAGGAGAAGCAAGAAGTACACCAGGTGCAAGTAATGATGCCACGTGGGCCTGAGTTAATTGGGCTGCGTCGTGGTGTACCCAAATGGACCTAGAGGACGTGACTTAACTTAATCACAATCTGGTGGGCCTAATGACAACTAAGAAGCTGTAGGATCAGTTTGTTCTTCATTGAGGAAGAATGAAAAACTAAAATAAGAGTAAAAGCCTCAGTTTTGAATACATTTGCTTTTACACCGTGTTTCCCAATTGTACATTGATACGCCATTGTTCTTTAAAAGAATACTAACGGATCTTGACATCTTGTGATTCCGTTAATTTTTTCAGCAGCTCTTTTAGAACAAACATTAACTTCCGTTACTTGAACAATTAGTTAGATATTTATATTATCTTATTTAGAATATTGCATATAATATGACACGTCAAAAAACCTGTTTTAGGTTTGGCTGATGTTCGAAATTGCTTTCAAAGAATTGAGTGAATGTAGATTTATAAAGGCAATAAATCAACCCCAAGTAGTTTAGTTGGCCTGGTAGTCAAGGAGATCTGTACCCTTTATTGAGTTTCTAGGCTCAAACTTTAGGACTGTTTCTTACATTATAACTTACTTAATCTTTTGAGTTCCTTTGAATTTATAGAACGCTCAATGTATTTAATAGACCCAAATAATTGATTGAGACGTGTGTAAACCCAAAAACCAAAACAAAAAAAAAAAAAAAAAAAAAAAAGACAAATTTAAAGGTTAAAGAAGGGTAATTTGGGAAGTGAATAAGAAGGAGAAAAATCTGCATAATACAACAATGTATTGACTGGTCGCGTGTCCAACCCAGTGAAGTAGACTCCATGATTGACTATTGACTATTGACTATTGGCAAATGCACAACCACATAATATGTCTCCCATTGATAAGGAGAAAAATCTGCATAATTTAAACAAAGCAAAAGTTGATGGAAGGTGCAGGCCCACCAAGCCAACATTTCTCACTATTATTTTTAATAGGTTTGGTAATATATCAAACTATGTTAATAAATACAGATTTTAATGGCTAACAGTGTAACAGTTAATAGTAAATCCTTAAATGAAAATTTACCAATATTTCTGTAAACATGTTTTGCTAAAGAGATAGAAACTTACAAGACATCTCCCAGATCAAACGAGCCAAAAATCCCAATTTTCACTCGTCCCAAAATATGCCTTAACAGAACTCATAAACAAAAATATCGATGTTATTGATGATTGTTAAAACCAAGTTGTTGATGGTGCTGTAATATTATTTAGAACTTACTGGCCTTTTTGGATATTTAACCAAACTTGAATTTCGCATGCATCCCAACCTATCAATCGTTATTTTAAATCTAGAATGATGAATGGAGAAAGATGTACATAATTTCGACTAAAAACAGAGATTTAATTCTTTAGCAATAATAAAGGGCGCCAGTAAAGCAAAGCATTACTAATTCATTACTTTTACCGGATTTGCCATTATAGTTATTCAATTATGGGCATCAATCAAAAGTGGGTGGGTCCTTTTCAACCATGTCACATTTGTTTGTTTCTAGCTTCATCTATGTATTATAAGAATTCAAAGAAAGTTAAAATCTTCACAAATATATCTCTTGCTTATTTTTCTTACGAATATTTACCTTCTCTGATTATGGCTAGAGCTATTGTTTCCTGTGTCTGGGACTATCTGACTTCATTCCTTCCTGAAGGGATACAACAGGAGGCGAGGCTAATCATTGGTGTTGACGAAGAAGTTAAAAAGCTCAGGAGCAATCTTGAAGCTATTGAATCTGTGCTCCTTGATGCAGAGGAGAGACAAGTGAAGGAGGGAAATGTCAAACGTTGGTTAGATCAGCTCAAGTGCACGTCTTATGACATTGACAAGGTGTTGGATGAGTGGAACTACGACAAGTTGAAACAAGAAATTGAGGGGGTTCCTTCTAAGAAGGTACGTTTCTCCTTTCCTCTTCCTCTTCATACCAACAAGCTGATTTTCGTCATGACATTGCTGTTAAGATAAAGGAAGTCAATGAAAAGTTAGATGTCATTGCAAAACAAAAAGATATGTATGATTTTAAAGTGAGTAGAAGTGTTGAGAAGTCAAAACGAGTACAAAGTACTTCGTTTGTTGATGTGTCTGAGATCTGTGGTCGAGTTGATGACAAGAGTATTTTAGTACGTAAGTTGTATGAGAATAGTGAACAACACCTTCCTATCATCTCTATTATAGGGATGGGAGGCATTGGTAAAACAACTTTGGCTCAATTTGCTTATAACGATAATGAGGTAATTAATAGTTTTGACCATAAGATGTGGGTATGTGTGTCGGAGCCTTTTGATGAGTATAGGATTGCTAAAGCAATCATTGAGGCTCTAAAAGGTTCTACTTCCGACTTAGTTGAATTCCAATCACTTCTTCAACATGTTAGGGAATCTATTGTGGGAAAGAAATTTCTTTTGATCTTAGATGATGTGTGGAATGAGGATTACAAAAAATGGGAACCATTGTATCATTGCTTGAAGAATGGTCTCCATGGAAGTAAAGTTTTGATTACTACACGTAAGGAGTCGGTTGCACGTATGATGGGATCAATTGATATTATAAATGTTAAGGAGTTGCCTGAAGAAGAATGTTGGTTGTTATTTAAGCGATTAGCATTTTTTGGTATGTCACAAGAGGAGTGTCAAAATTTTGAAGAGATTGGTAGGCAAATTTTAAGCAAGTGCAAGGGTTTGCCTCTCGCTGTAAAGACTATCGGGAGTCTCTTGCGCTTTAAGAAACATAGGGAACAGTGGCAAAATATCTTAGACAGTGAATTATGGAAACTTGAAGAATTAGAAAAAGATATTTTTCGGCCATTATTATTGAGTTATAATGATTTGCCTTCTATGATAAAACAATGTTTCATATATTGTGCCGTCTTCCCTAAGGATTATAAAATAGATAAAGATTATTTGATTAAATTATGGATGGCACATGGTTATCTAAAAGGATATGAAAATAAGGTGATGGAGATAGTTGGTCAAGAGTATTTTGATTACTTAGCATCACGCTCATTCTTTCAAGAGTTTAAAAAAGATGGTGACAATAATATCATAGGATGTAAGATGCACGATTTAGTGCATGACTTTGCCCAATTCCTGAGTAAGAATGAATGTATCTCGATAGAAGTTGATGGTCTTAAGGATCCAATCACAAACTCTTCTTATCATGAGCAAGTTTGTCACTTGATGGTAACAATCCATAGAGAAGATTCATTTCCTGATTCCATTTTTAGTCTCAGAAGGATTCGCAGTTTCCTATATAATTTTGAAGGTTCTTCATATTCATTGGCTCCTAATATCTTACCAAAATTATTTGGTGAGTTGACATGTTTAAAGGCATTAACCATAGGTCGAAAGTATGGAAGTGTGATTGAAGACATTCCTCCTAAAGAGATTGGAAGATTGATACATTTGAGATATCTCAATTTGAAAGGGCTAAAAATGAGAAAACTTCCAGAAGAATTATGTGGATTATATAATTTGCAAACTTTAGACATTAGTGATTGTAAAAATCTGGAAGAATTACCTCAAGGGATTGAAAAATTAATAAATCTAAGGCATCTAGAAAATTATGGGGTCCGGTCATTAAGATACATGCCAATAGGAATTCAAAGATTGACTAATCTCCGAAGCTTAAGGTGGTTCGTTGTGAGTGGTGGTGGTGGTACTGATAATAAAGCATGTAGCCTTGAAGGTTTGAAATACCTTAACCTCTTTGGAGAGTTGTGTATAAAAAAGTTAGGAAATGTATCCAATGTGGATGAAGCTAGAAGATCAGAGCTCAAGAATCAGAAAAACCTACTTCATTTGTATATGGATTTCAAAAAAGATGAAGGAGAGAGGACGAATGAGGACGATGAAGTACTTCTTGAAATCTTACAACCACCTTTAAATTTGGAGAAATTACAGATAAGGAATTACAGAGGCAACACTATTTTGCCCAACTGGATGATGTCCTTAACCAAGCTCAAGGATTTAGAACTTATGCATTGCATAAACTGCAAGCATTTGCCTCCCTTGGAAAAATTGCCATCCCTTGAAGATTTGTTTATAGATAAAATGAGTAGTTTGAAAAGAGTGAGTAATGAATTTTTGGGAATAGAAAGTGATGGCACATCTTCATCATTTATTTTCTTCCCCAAATTGAAATATCTCACTTTTGAGTGTATGGATGAATGGGAAGAGTGGGATTATGAGATTACAAGAAAGGGAGAAGAAGAAGATATTACAATCATGCCATCTCTTGTTTCCTTGCAAATTCATAACTGTCCCAAATTGAAGGCATTGCCAAACCACCTTGTTCAGAATACAACATTGAAAAAATATATTGGTGGTTGTCCTCTACTACGCTACCATCGATGAAGGGTGAAAGTGAGAGGTAATATTTTTTTCTTAATTATTTTTGTTTAAATAAAAGTATTTGTGATTGAATAATTAATGAATGAGAAAGAAATTGCAAAAAGGCATGTGTTTTAAGTTAAATGTAATGATAGATTTAGTTAAGAGGTAATTGAAATAGAAATAATGGTGGAAATGAAAGAAATAGTAAATAGAATATGAATAGATTGCCAATTTTAATTAAGTATTGATTTGATTATGTTTACATTGGCAGTTGTTTTAAGGAAAATAGAAATGATAAAATGAATGATTGAGAGAGAAATAGCATTTGGAATTGTTGAATGATTATGTTTATATGTACTCCACTTGTTGTAGTTTTAAGAGTTTTATACATAATGCAATTATTCTTTGATATCATTTGAGAGAGACAGAAATAACATTGGGTTTGTTGAATGATTATTTTATACTCCACTTGTTTTAACCAAATTAGATATCAAAATCTCTTTGTTGTAGTTTTATACAAATGCAATTATTGGCTATTTAAAATTATAGAATAAATAAATAAATATAAAATTGACCTTTTATTGTTTAATTTGACTGTGAAAGAATGGATTGGCCCATTAGCCTAGTTAGTAAAAACGCGTATTATACGCGAATTATACGGACAGCCATATAATTCGCGTATAAAACGTGCGAATCCGAATTTTGTAAAATCTGTCGTATAATTCGCGTATAATAAGGTGTACCGTATAATTCGCGTATAATTCGCGAATTATTTGTGAATTTTTGAAAAAAAAAAAACATAATCTCATACCCCCAAAACGACGTCGTTTTGGTGGGTTTATACAAAAAATTAAAATAGATCTGGTTCACTGGTTCAGTCGTTCTTCTTCAATTCTTCGGCAGTTCAGCAGCAATTCTTCTTCTTCCTCAGTTCTTCTTCAGCTTTTCTTCCTCACAAATTTCCACAAGCAATCAATCAACTCCCACAATCAACACACAACAATCAACTCCAGCAAATAATCAATTTCCACAACCTTCGTCTCTTTTGTATAGACATAAGTTTATACTTTATACAAGAGAGCCGAAGTTTAACTTTTAAGAAGAAAGTAAAGACTGAAGAGAAGGTGGAACAAAGAAAGAGAAAGAAGAGAAGAAACTTATAGAAGAAAGAGAGAAGAAAGTTTTGCAAAGAACGCAGAAAATGAAAGAGAAGAGAAAGGAGAGAGAAAATTTAATAAAATATGTACTTTTAAGTTTTAACTTTTACTTGATAGATTTGTAATTTTTGTAAACTGATTGTAGGGTGTATTTATAATTTTTATAAATAATTGGTTTTATTATGATTGTGTTTGAGTCTGGACACTATAATTTGAATATCAGTTATATTTATATATTGTGTATTTGTGTTATTGGTTAATTGAATACTTTGTATTTGAATTGTTATATTGATTTTAACCAGGTAGTCCATAAAAATGTTAAAACTAAGATTGATATTGCCGTATTTTTCAAAACGTATTATTGATAATACACCGTATTAAACCCGTATATACCCGTACCATATTTTTTCCGTATCCAAATTTTATGGCCGAATTTTTATAAACGTATTTTTCACCATTTGCCGTATTATACCCGTAAAATTCCTGTACCTTTTTTTTGCCGTACCCGTATTTACTAACTAGGCCCATTAGTACAAATTACGTTACATGGGTCTGGTTAAATACGGTTTTTGGTTATTTAAAAATTAATAGAATATTTATATATATATATATTTTGTAAAATTAAAGAAATATAAAATTAATTTTATAAAACTAAAAATACATTCAAGAAATTGTATTTCTATTCAGGAGAGGAGACCAATCTCGTTTCATTAATACAAAACAAGGTACATGGGCCTTGTTTAATATTTTTCTTAGTGACTTGTAGTAGAGATTAATTTAATTTAAAAAATAAATATCTTAAATATATTAATTAATTTATACTAAGGCATGTAATGCTCTTCTATTTACAGCTTCAGTAATCAGTATAGTATTTTGTCTTCTGGAAGAAGGAAATAATGGGTGTTAGGAGAGGAGACTAGGCAGAGGAACTCAGTCAAGTACGTGCTTCTTCTTTTTTTTTTTTTTTTTTTGGGTCAATTCCTTTTTACAAAGACATGTAATTTTTTCTATTTAAGGTTTCATATTTCGTCAAAATATTTACTGTTCCAGAGATGCATGCATTTTGCGGCATGGAAGAGAGGAAGAATGCTTTTTGCAGAGTTGCTGGACGAAATCAATTAATAGTGGGTTATGCTTTCTCAATGTTGTTCTCTGTTCTTTCTTTAATGCTTCATGTTTAATATGAAAGCATAGCTAAAGAATTTCAATTTTCTGTTAAACTTTCAAAATGAGGTATATTATGTTATCTTTTACTAGATGAAACAATTGCCCAAACCCTGCTCTTCACATTTACTTGGTAAGCTAGCATTTCATACTGTTTAAATTTTGTCTGGCTTGGAAAATGTTTAAGTGCTTTTTTCTGTCATTTTGCACTAAATCATGTAATTTTCTCTTTATACTTTCAAATTTCACCAAATAGTCATTGTTTCAGTGCAGCATTTTGCGCTATGGAAGATAATGGGTGTTAGAAGAGTAGTAGAAGAACTTAGTTAATGGTTGGTTGTGAATTTCTCTTTTCTTTCTTCCTTACTGATGTTTAAAAGCACTTCACAACATTGTGTTCTGATTCAGTTATTTTTATAATATGCAGAGAGGCAAGNGAATTTTATGGCCGAATTTTTATAAACGTATTTTTTATCGTTTGTCGTATTATACCCGTAAAATTCCCGTACCATTTTTTTGCCATACCCGTATTTAGTAACTAGGATATAAATGCAAAAGGTTGCATTTTTGTTCATTCTTCACTTGTTCACTCAAAAACAAACTAAAACTCTCTCTCAAACCCACGGCCACTCTCTAATCTCTCAAGGTGGTGTTAAAGTGTGGAGGTTTTATCCTTTTGAGGCTAATCTTCATCAATCCAAAGCAAATGAGTAGGTATAATCTCTTTTCAAGTTTTGCATGAAAACCGTTTTTTTTTTAAATCCATCCTTTGATGCTTTCTTCTCTATTTCCACCACTCTTCATGCATGCATGCTGGTCTATCAGTTTCTTCATGTGTTATCGTTGATTGTGTTGGGCGTGCTGGTTATTTTTTATCCTATTACATTGAATTGCTTGTATCCTTCTTTGGACACGAAATCTTTCTGCCTATTCTATTGTTGCTGGAGTTATTTATTTCTACATTATCCGCCTGGCTTCCTAGCAAGCGCCATGGAATCGGACACCATCACAATTCAAATTCAGGTGACTATACTTTGCTTTCTTCTTTTTAATAGCTAGGCATAGCTAGTGGAGTACAATTAATTGATAGTCGAAGCCAGGGCTGTGTATTATTATAATATAATTATAAATATTTATTTTCAAGGGTCTAATATATAATTATATATGTAGACGGAGGGAGGCCGTCCACAATACTTTCTCCTGGAAAATCCTACGAGGCGAAAAGAAGAAAGAGACGGTGAGCTGAAAAGCGCACATGTACCTATTGGCTCCTTGGGATTAGAAGCGCTGCCCACTAACATTTCACACAATTGTTTCTTTGATTTTGATTTTCTATTTCACAGAATGAAAATAAATATCCAATTTTACACCTTTCATTTTAAAATATCTAATTGTATTTTTTAAGAATGAAGACATGTATTTTTTTAATACTTGAATGATTATATTCAGTGTTTCTCAAAAGCTCTATTCTGTGAGATATAGTTTGTTTAACATACCATTCTAATTTCTAAGTTTTTGCTCAAGCCAAAGTAAACCTTTGTTTTGATTTGCTTGAACTTGAAACCCAATTGATTAGATTCTCCAAAACCTACATAAACGAGATTAAATTGTTTTTTAATTAAGGTTTTCCTTAGATAATTTATGTTCTAATGGTGGTCCAATTGTATTTTAGAGCTACATGTTTCATATATAAAGGTGAAAAAATTATTTTCGTCTGGATTTGATTTATCTGAATTGTTTGATGGAGGAGAGGATGCAAGGATTTGTGCATGGAGCTTTTGTTTCGAAAAATTATTATTCATTCATTTTTACCCTTCTCTCCTAGTTTGATGTTTTGTTCATCTCTTTGAAAAATCATTGTTATAGAAAGGAGAAAAAGTAGAGTTTTTTCATTCAAATTAAGATTTTTTAAAGGATATAAACAAGGGTAATCACTACTACAAAAAGCCCCCTTTTGACAGATTTTCTTGACCGTTCTAAAAAACTTTCAAGAATTTTAATTCTTGACAAATTGTTGATAGTTTCTGAACTGTCAAGAATTTGCTATAATCCTTGATAATTTTAGATTATTAAGTATATAAAAAGCAAAAAGAGAAGACGGTGAAGGAGCCATAGGCTAGGTTTGCCTAAAACTTTTCCCTCTCGTTTTTTGCCACCCACTTTTCCTTAACTATTCCCACCATTTTTTCCGTAAAACTTTTGGTTACCCGCTATTTGTGCAAACCCTCATAGTTGACCTACTTTTGGCATTGCAAAAAAAGTTCTTGTTTCTAACACTCCCGTTCAGTAGATGACGACTTGCTCATTGACGATGGCACTTACTCCATGCCTATTTCGACGGAGATTGTTAACTTTGGTGAGTTCTTGGCAAGGCGTATCCCCAACACCTAAATGTAGGGGTTTTCAGAAAAAATCGATTTTGGTCGATAGAAATACAGAAAACCGAATTTCCGATTTTATTAAAAAAAATTAAACAGCAAACACTTTTTCCTTAAAATTTAAAAAGTAAACAAGTTAAATTAAAAAGTCCCTATATCCTTAAAATTAAAGAAACACAAAACCTCACACCCGGTTGTGTGGGCAAAAAATCGTCTTAGGTCTAACGAGGCCCAATAACGAAATAAACATATCACGGCCCAAGGTTTTAGCCTAATTCTGATTGGGCCTACGCTTAAAATCACCTTATGAACTGCCCACTCT